TAATATGACATGCCTTAATCAAACATAGAAAGTCACATTGATTTAAGAAGTTAGAAATAAAATGAAACACCTAGGAATAAACTTGACAAAGGAAGTGAAAGAGCTCTAGAATGAAAAACTACAAACCACTGATGAAATGAATTGAAGTAGACAGACATCAGAAGATAGAAAGATCTCCCATGATCATGGATTGGCAGAATCAATATTGTGAAAATCCCTATGCTACTACAAGCAATCTACATGTTCAGTGCAATCCCCATCAAAACTCCAAGGACATTCCTCCCAGAGATTGAAAAATCAACCCTAAAGTTCATATGGAAGCACAAAAGACTGTGAAGCCTGAGTTCAAACCCCAATACCACCAAAAAAAAAAAAAAAAGACTGTGAATAGCCAAGGCAATTCTGAGCTAAAAGAGGTATCACAGTACCCCACTTCAAACTATACTACAGTGCCATAGTGATAAAAGTAGCATGGTACTGGCATCAAACCAGTTAGAAAGACCAGTGGAGCAGAATAGAAGACCAGATATGAATCCACACACAGATACGCCCACCTGATTTTTGACAAAGGTGTCCAAAATATATGATGGAGAAAAGACAGCCTCTTCTACAAATGTTGCTGGGAAAACTGGATATCTGGTATGTAAATGACTAAAATTAGATCCACATCTTTCACCATGTACAAATATCAATTCAAAGTAGATCAAAAACCTTAATGTAAGACCTGAAACGTTGAAGCTAGTGTAGGAAATAATAGGGAATACAGTGGGACATACAGGCATAGGCAATGACTTCCTAAATAAAACTCCAGTGGCTCATCAGCTAAGAGAAAGGATTGACAAATGGGACTACATGAACCTGAAAGCTTCATGCACATCAAAAGAAATGGTCACCAGATTGAAAAGACAGTCTACAGAATGGGAAAAAATCTTTACCAGCTATATACCTGACAAGGGATTAATACTAGGATTTACAAGGATCTCAAAACAGCTAAACTCCCCAAAATCAGTGACCCAGTGAAGATATGGGCACAGGAACTCAACAGAGCTATTTCAAAGGAAGAAGTCCACATGACTAAAAAACACATAAAAAATGCTCTCTATCCCTGGCCATAAAGGAAATGCAAATCAAAATGACATTAATGTTCTATCTCACCCCTGTTAGAAGGGCTATCATCATGAACACAAACAACAAGAAATGCTGATGAGGATGTGGAATACACTACTGGTGGAATGTAAATTAGTACAACCACTATGGAAAACAGCATGGAGGCTCCTCAACACAACTAAATAGAACTGCCATATGATCCAGCAATACCACTTCTAGGGATATACCCGAAGGAATGTGAGTCAGGTTACACTAAAGACACTTGCATACCCATATTTATTGAAGCATTATTCACAATAGCTAAGCTATGGAAATAGCCAAGATGCCCATAACTGATGAATGGATTAAGAAAATGTGATACATACAAATGATGAGATTTTATTCAGCCACAAAGAAGGATGAAATATTGCCATTCACAGATAATAGATGGATTGGGGATTCATCTTAAGTGAAGTAAGCCAGGTTCAAAAAGCCAAAACCCACATGTTTTCTCTCATAATTGGAAGATAGATACAATACAAACAAGTATTATCATATATACATATAAGTGAGAGAACATGTTTCCAAAAATGGAACTGTTAGAGGATACTAAGGGAGGAGGAAAAGAAGAAAAGAATGATACAGAGTGATATTAAATACATCTGTGTAGGAACAAGACACAACAAAACACACTGAAAATGAACAATACAAGATAGGGGAGAAGGAGTAAGGAAAAGTAGTGTAGGGGGTGAGACTGATTTAAGCACAATATATTTATAGGGAAAACACCAAGGCAAAAACCCCACTGAAAATCAGACACTTAAACAATGAAGGACAGGAATGTAAAACGGGTCGTATTAAGAGGAGGCACTAGTGGGAGGAAGAAGGTGAGTGAAGAGGGTAAAGGAGGGTGAATATGGTGAATTACTTTCTATACAAGTATGAATGTGGAACACTGAAATCTGTTGAAGTCACTTCAAGAGGGGAAATGGGGTAGGAGGGAGAATAATGGAAGGGATGAACCAAATTGGGGTGTAATACATGTATATATGGAAACATCACAATGAAACCCTCTATATAACTGTTACATACTAATAAAAATGTTTGAAAAAGAAAAAGCTGACTACCATAGAAAGAAGAGCTTGGATGAACCAAATTGGGGTGTAATACATGTATATATGGAAACATCACAATGAAACCCTCTGTATAACTGTTACATACTAATAAAAAATGTTTGAAAAAGAAAAAGCTGACTACCATAGAAAGAAGAGCTTGAAGTTTAGTCACCTAGGTCAGAGTTTGAATTCTTTTTCCATTGATTGTTGGCTTGCAGGGATATTGTATAAATTAACTTTTCTGAGTTTTAGTTTTCCTAGGCGTTTGTTGTGACAACTAGAAATCATTTTAAACTCTTAGCATAGGGCCTCATGCATAGCAGTCTCTGCTCAATTCTAACTCTCAGAACAGCAGGAATTTAGTCTGGTGTGAGAGGTCAATAAACGCAACTCGTTATTTATGTTGACTTCAGTAAACTTTTCTATTCTTCCCTGTTGGAAAGCTTTAAATATTTTTTGTAAAAATAGAAATGATGCATAATCTCACTATCCACTAAAATCCACTGTTCAGTGTATGCAAAAGGGTTTTTTTAGACCTTTTAAAGTCTATTATTTATCTATCTTTTTTTTGCAGTACTGGGACTTGAACTCAGGGCCTACACATTGAGCCATTCCACCAGCCCTATTTTTTAGTGTTAGGTATTTTCGAGATAGGGTCTTGTAAACTATTTGCCTGGGCTGGCTTTGAACCTCCATCCTCCTAATCTCTGCCTCCTGAGTAGTTAGGATTACAGGCATGAGCCACTGTCGCCCTGCAATCTATATATTTTTGATTACTCATTTGTTTTTGATTTGTTTAAATATGTTATATATATATGTCACGTCATATATTAGAACCTTCTTGGCTGCATTTTTGATACTGTATCATAATAAGGAGCCTGATATATGAAGATAGTGTGGCAACCAAAATACTTCCTGGTAGCAAAAGAACCTGACTGAGTTTGAAGTAATGTGATTATCATTCAGTATGTATCTAAGCAGAGTGTGTGCCCCCTCCTCCCTAACCATACACACTGAGTGTGACTCATGTAAACTAGCAGTGGAGAGAGCTTTACACCTCATTTTACACAGTAGGAAAATTTAATGATTTCAAGATAGCTGGAGTTTGAGATTTGGCCTGACCTTTTATCTAATTAAGGAATTAAAAAATTACTTATCTTTGACAATTACATTCATTATTAACAATTGTGTACAAAATAATTATTCTGAAATTTTCAAATATTGAGGAACATATACAGGAGAAAATTTAAATCACCTATGTTACCACTGTACAGGAAGAACTACTGTTCATGTCTTCATGTATTTCTGTCTTTTATTAGATGTACATTTTGCACATTTTTAGATGTGCATTTTGTACACATCCCCAAACTCATGCAGTTAGTTAGGTCATGCTACAGGTAAAATTTTGTTGTTATTTTCTTTACTATGTTGTGAACTCTTTTAGTGAGGAACATTTGTCATACATGATTGATAACATGTAGTGAGAGGGGTGTGCAATATCCTGGCTGAAGCTATGAAAGTAAGCTGTCTCTTTGTTTACAAAGTTTTCTATTCCTGGGTTGAAGAGAGAGATTCTATGGTTTAGCCTGAGTGGTTGTTTCTAGCACCCTAAGAAGAGCTTGTGACTTCATCCCAAAACATGGTAAAAGGTGACAGATACCTCCTTTGCCTGTTGTCAGAACTGCTGATTTATCTGCTCTGACTGCCTCCAGCCTGACCAGGTTGATGCAAAGGTGATGAGACATCACATCCTCTGGCTTAGAGCCACTGCAGCGTGTGCTGTCTGCTGACACATTTCTTCTGTCAGGTGCATGTGGAGTTCTTTCTGGCACATTGTAGGTCTGGTGGTTGAATACATGACATAGAGACTATTTTTATATCACATATTTTTCCCACTTCAAGATTTTCCTGAATGACCTCTAAAAATTGGTAGAAATGAAAAATTTATTTTCTTTTTTTTCTGGTACTGGTTTTTGATCTTAGGCCTTGCACTTGCTAAGTAGGTGCTCTAGTGCTTGAGGGTCTCTACCAGCCCTTTTGGCACTGGTTGTTTTTGAGATAGGGTTTTGCTTTGTGCCCAGGCTGGCCTGCACCACTGTCCTCCTATTTATGCCTGCCATGGTACCTGGGATGACAGGTGCATGCCACCACGCCCAGCTGTTTCTATTGAGACAGGTCTCATGGACTTTTTTGCCTGGGCTGGCCTCAAATCATGATCTTCCTGATCTCTACCTCCCTAGTAGCTAGGATCAGGCATGAGCCCCTGGCGTGTGGCTGAAAAATTAATTTTCTGTGTGGCAGTTAATGTTTGGTAATTTGCCTTATCACTATATACAGGTTTTACTAAAATGAGTATATAAAGTTCATTATATCAAATGCTCTCTTTGGCTTTGACATTTGTTTTTAGTTCTTTCTAGAAGAACATTTATTTCAAGCCTGTAGTATGTACTATTTATATTGTTTAAACTTCATGGTGACCACATAAAAATATTTGTTAATACTCTTATTTTACATGTGAGGACTCTCTGGTTAAGGGTGGTGATTTGCCAGCTGGTCCGTAGACTGGTGTCGGGCTTCTGCCATCAGAGTCACTCTTTGCTATCATGTGCATTTCTACCACTCTGTGCAGCATAGGTCTTGGCCCTGGTAATCTGAGTATTGCAGTCATGTAGCTACAGGCTTTGCAAACATCTAACCCTCCAGTATTCTAATGCTCCTGCTAAGATAGCTGTCTCTGTGTTAAATAAATTCTGTTAATTATTTAATGTTAATTGATGATTGTTCTTTTCTTTTTGCTAGGTTGGAGCAGGATGGATTGGAAAATGTAAGTCTCCATTGGGTTTTGGTTTGCCATAGGTTATTTCCCTGTCTTTAGACCTGCATATCTGGTAGACCTCATTCATAAGGGTCTTGTCAAATGCCTAGTCACTGGACCAGTGTAGCACTTTCATATGTGGACTTTGTCACAGCAACAGGCTTGCTAATGCACAGCCCTTGGCCTGTGGCACTTTCAAGATGCTCTGTTCTCCCTGTAGGCAGTCAGCCTGTTCAGCACATATTCTGTCTCTTCAGAACTGGCTCTTCGTTCAGACAGCACAGTCTTCACATTGATGTTCATTCTCTAGTGTCTCTGGTGTTCCACATACTTTAAAAGGTGGGAAGAATCCATCCTAGATAGCGCAGCAAGCAGGCTCTCCACTTCTCTCGTGTAACTCTTTTTCTAAAGCATGAGATGTCAGGAGAGAGGGAGGAGTCACACTGGACACCTTCCTAAGACAGGAATTGCACCTGATCTGAACCATGGGAGTTGTCCTCTTTTCCCTCAAGCCAATTCATTTGGCTTCAGTGCTCTTTTGTTCTACCTTTCAATCTTGTGAGCTCCAAATTTAATAGTTGCTCTGTATCATTTTTAAAAATGTAAAGATTCCAGTATTTCTACTTGTTTTCAATTGGCTGCTGGTATCAAAATTAATCACATAGGTCATTGAGTTATATGAAAGGTTGCCATCACAGGAGGACATTGTTGGGCATACTGTAGACACCAGTATTTTTACCATTAGTGACCCTTCTCTTCACGTGTTAAAGTGATACCCATTTAAAGTAGGAAGGTAGGTAGCAATAAAAGCTGTATCTGGTGATTAAGTAGGAAAGGTCTGCCTGCCACTGGTTATCTATTACTATGGATTTTTAAAAGGAAACAATGTCAAATTCTCCTAATGAAACTTAAGTACAGTAGACTTCTTGTGAAAATGGAAGAAAAGCAGAGGAGGGACAGGGAGAATTATTTGTGACCACCCAATATATTAATTTTTTGTTAACTGGTATCTGTAACCTTTTTGTCACTCCTAGACATCAACTTGCTACCCAGCAAAGGTTTATTCTATTAATTACCATTTTATAAATCCTTACCTGAGTAACCTGTGGTCATGAGGATTATTGTGTAATTTGACTTTTCAGATTCACCATGATATTCTGCCTTTTACACCTGGCATAGTCAGAAGTTTTTCCTTTTAGCTTCAAATATTTCTTTAGAAAATACATTTAAAAATGTTTAGTAAAGCTCTTACATTTCCTTTTTCTTGCTTTCTGTCTCCCTCTTAACCTACGTGCTCAGTGTGTTAGTTTTGTTTCTAATCAGTGCGCTGGGAGCGGACCCTTGGAGCCATTGTAAGACAGAGGAATCTGCTAATGACTCCTGAGGCAGTGAAAGCTAACTGGGAGAAGATCTGTGACTTTAGTGATGCCAGCAAGCCTCAGAGCGTCCAAGGTGAGAGTCCCATGCTATGTAGCCCTGGTCAGGGAGCCAGAGGCAGCAAGCACTCCTCCCAATCCATGAACTTGTCTTCTGCCTTGACAGTGGTGACATCGACACTTGAATCATCTGTCACAGGTCTCCTATTTCCATAAGCACTCAGTAGGCTACTGTTTCTCTACCATACCTCTTCTTCTCCTTATCACCTCTGCATGATTTTAGTACTTTCTTTAGAAAGACTCAAGACCTAGGTGTTCAGCAAAACCTTCCCAGATATTTTGAGATACACTGATGTTTCTGTTAATTTCTACCACTTAAAGATTTAATTGTGACTGCTTTCTGCTGATTTGTTTCATGAACGTTTGGTTTCTTAACCACATGGTAAATTCCTTTGAGGCAGAGATGATCTTACATGTAATTCTTTCTTTTCTTTTCTTTCTTTCTTTTATGGTGGATGGGGTGCTAGGGCCTTAGGTATGCTAGGAAAGCACTCTACCACCGAGTTATACCCCCAGACTATGTAATTCTTATTTATTTTTATTTATATGTTAGCATATATTAATTGTACATACAGGTAATTCTCTTACATTTGGCATCAGCATAGTGCTGCACTCATAGAAGGGATTTAGTAAATGCCTGATAAATTATTTGCTAATCTATGATAGGCCCATAAGAGTAGATACTAAATAAAGTTCACATTATTCTTTTCTAGTATACTCACATATAAACTTAGTAATGAATTTTAAAAGAAGTGTCTGAGAAAGCTCATGAGTCAGGGCCATTTTATAGAAAAACATTTTCATTTTAGTAATTTTATACTTAAAGCTTGACAGAAGAATGACTTGACTGAAAATGACTTTGAATTTTTTTCTTCTTAACTATATTTTCCTACCTGCTTGTACACTCACTGAAATTTTCAGTGTGTCTTTTCTGTAAGATGACAACAAAATTGTTATAGATCGTTGCATTTTTGTATTTTATATTTTGATAGCTGGGATAAATTTGTTCTATGAAATGAATGAAAGGAAAAGGGAAAAAAGACATTGAAAACTCTCTTTTATTTCTGCCTCAAATATTTCTTCCTCAAAAGTATTAGACTATTATAAAAAAAGACTATTATAAAAAAAACAATTGTGTAATTGTAAGTGAAAGAGACCTCTAATACAGGGAGCATCTTAAAAACAAGTAACGTCTTTTCTATAAGTGTTGACTTTCCAGAGCACCTAATCCAGTGTTTTCATTTTATAAAAGAGGGAACTAAATCTCAGGAAAGATAAAGGAGCCAGTGTTTGAGCCAAGTCAGTCAATTCAGATTCTCTGTCACTGTGTTTTGTCTCAAGGTACCCCCTTAAGGCAATCTGAAGAGAGGGGGTAGTACACATGAGGCCTCTCCACTAGTGGTCACCTCTAATGGAAGAGTCTGCTCATGGTAGAGTCTGTAATGTTGTTAGAGCCTTGTTGCCCATGAGGACATGTAGCTGCTTTGATCTGCATGTCTTCCATATGCAGTTCTTAGTAGCCATGATGGGAGCTTGTAGCAGTGGTCATGTAGCATACTGCAGCTTTTCTTGGCCACAGTTTAAACTGAGCACTATTTTTATTATTTCTCTTAATTGTAGAATCAACGAGTGGTATAATTGAAGTCTTACATAAAGTTGATTCAGAAGGAGGAGTTTCAACAAATCATACCAGCCACGCAGCATCTTCCACCACAACAGGATTTGTAAGTGCTTCCACTTCAGGGTCTGTCTTCTCTGGAGATGTGTCCTCCTTCCTCTCTCTCTCTCTTCTAAAATAGTCACTCTCTTTCATCCACAGTAATGAGAGAAGCACTGGCACATTCCATTTAAAATAGAAGATTAATTCAGAAACTATTTATGGTTGACTTTAGAAAAAGTCTGATTCTGACCTACAGGACACTCACAACATTTAAAGCACATGAGAAGGTGGCTTTATTCTTTCTTCCAACTTGTCCCTGTCCCTCTCTTGGATTTCTCTGTACCACACCCTGCTTTTCTTGCTCCTGGTGGCGGATGCCTTGAAAGGAGATCAGACCAATTGGGTATTGGCTTCTAAGGTTCTTCCTGATGTCAGTGGGGTAGGAGACTGGAAGGTAGCCTACCCTTTCCATACTTTTCGGAGGGGTAGATGTTCTTTACTTGATACAATTTTTGGTAATCTTTCTTTGGGGGTATGATTAATCAAGTTAGTTGGCTGACTAATGCTTTAGCTACCTCTCCCTCGACTTTTCATTGGTATTTGAAAATTAACTCAGGAAGGTACTGGATGGAAGAGGAAATAAGGAGTTACCACACTGGTAGAAAAGACTTGAGGTGAAACCATTACCCAGTCTTGGCATCTGTGCGTGCTACCTGTCAACCTTCCATGCACTTCTCCTCTGTCCGTTCACACCTCTTTGTCTCTTCAAGAATAAATTTAACTTGACTAAATAAATTAGAATTTTGTGGAAGCCTATTGGAGGGACCACAGGGTGACACAGTATGACTCAGAGGTTCTGTGCTGCAAGTTCCTTGCTGTGTTTCCTCTTCACCTAACAAACAGAAAACTTTATACCTCTCTTGAAAATTGTAGCAATCAGCAAAATTTTGAGTTGTAAACAATTCCAAAACATGTTTTTCTTTTTACAAAAAATTATTTTCTAAGCTATTAATCTATTGATAAGAACACAAATCTTTTTCTGAAATCTGTTCTAAATATTGATAGAATGAAAGAATATAAGCTGGATGCTAAGTGAAACTTTGTTTCCTACTGCTGTTCGACAGGTGTCATTCTTTTTCTTGATAGCCCTCCACTGATAATCCATCATTGATAATCCTCTTTCTGTCACTGTTTTTCTAACTCTTTAGAAAAGGGTGTTTATTTTAGAGATTATTCTTCCAGGTCAGTTCCTATAAGGAAAGTATCGACCAGTTGTGCTTCGAAAATAGTTCAACAAGGATACAAGTATGAAGCTTCTCATTGTGTCAGAAGTACTGATAGAATTATGGTTGTAGCTTATGTGAAATGTGTCCATTTACTATTTCCTGCACTTGTTCTGTGAAAGAGAAGTGTAGTGGACAACAGCAAAAAGTGAATAATTTGCTACATTAGATTATGGTGTTTGTGACCCAGGGGGTCATAGTGAAGAATAAAATTAGGAATCCAACTTTAAGTCTGAGAGTATTCAGTTCATATGATTGGGATTTTACTTTTAATAGAGATCATGCAGTAAGTATTTTAGGCTTTAGGGCCACATTTTTTTTTCTGTTACATAGTCTTCCTGTTTTCCTTTTCGGTACTGGGATTCTAACCCAGGGCTTTTCATGCTAAGCATACAAGCACTGTACCTCTGAGTTATATCCCTAGCCCTGTTTTTTTTTTTAACCACCTTTTTTTTTTATTCATATGTGCATACAATGTTTGGGTCACTTCTCCCCCTTCCTCCACCCCCTCCCTTACCCTCAACTCTGCCCCCAACCTCTCCCCCCACCCACCCCATCCATACCCGGCAGAAACTATTTTGCCCTTATCTCTAGTTTTGTTGTAGAAAGAGTAAAAGCAATAATAGGAAGGACCAAGGGTTTTTGCTAGTTGAGATAAGGATAGCTATACAGGGAGTTGACTCACTGATTTCCTTGCGTGTGTACCTCTAGGTTAATTCTTCTTGACTAACCTTTTCTCTAGTTCCTGGTCCCTTTTCCTATTGGCCTCAGTTGCTTTAAGGTATCTGCTTTAGTTTCTCTGCGTGAGGGCAACAAATGCTAGCTAGTTTTTTAGGTGTCTTACCTATCCTATCTCCCTTGTGTGCTCTCGCTTTATCATGTGATCAAAGTCCAATCCCTTGTTGTGTTTGCCCTTGATCTAATGTCCACATATGAGGGAGAACATACGATTTTTGGTCTTTTGGGCCAGGCTAACCTCACTCAGAATGATGTTCTCCAATTCCATCCACTTAAGAAATGATAACATTTCGTTCTTCTTCATGGCTGCATAAAATTCCATTGTGTATAATACCACATTTTCTTGATCCATTCGTCAGTAATGGGCATCTTGGCTGTTTCCATAACTTGGCTATTGTGAATAGTGCTGCAATAAACATGGTGTGCAGGTGCCTCTGGAGTAACCTGAGTCATCTTTTGGGTATATCCCCAAGAGTGGTATTGCTGGATCAAATGGTAGATCATGTTTGCTTTTTAAGTAGCCTCCAAATTTTTTTCCAGAGTGGTGTACTAGTTTACATTCCCACCAACAGTGTAAGAGGGTTCCTTTTTCCCTGCATCCTCGCCAACACCTGTTGGTGGTGTTGCTAATGATGGCTATTCTAACAGGGGTGAGGTGGAATCTTAGTGTGGTTTTAATTTGCATTTCCTTTATTGCTAGAGATGGTGAGCATTTTTTCATGTGTTTTTTGGCCATTTGGATTTCTTCATTTGAGAAAGTTCTGTTTAGTTCACGTGCTCATTTCTTTATTGGTTCATTAATTTTGGGAGAATTTAGTTTTTTAAGTTCCCTATATATTCTGGTTATCAGTCCTTTGCCTGATGTATAGCTGGCAAATATTTTCTCCCACTCTGTGGGTGTTCTCTTCAGTTTAGAGACCATTTCTTTTGATGAACAGAAGCTTTTTAGTTTTATGAGGTCCCATTTATCTATGCTATCTCTTAGTTGCTGTGCTGCTGGGGTCTCGTTGAGAAAGTTCTTACCTATACCTACTAACTCCAGAGTATTTCCTACTCTTTCCTATATCCACTTTAGAGTTTGTGGTCTGATATTAAGATCCTTGATCCATTTTGAGTTAATCTTGGCATAGGGTGATATACATGGATCTAGTTTCAGTTTTTTGCAGACTGCTAACCAGTTTTCCCAGCAGTTTTTGTTGAAGAGGCTGCTATTTCTCCATCGTATATTTTTAGCAACTTTGTCAAAGACAAGTTGGTTATAGTTGTGTGGCTTCATATCTGGATCCTCTATTCTGTTCCACTGGTCTTCATGTCTGTTTTTGTGCCAGTACCATGCTGTTTTATTGTTATGCTTTGTAATATAGTTTGAAGTCAGGTATTGTGATACCTCCTGCATTGTTCTTTTGACTGAGTATTGCCTTGGCTATTCGTGGCTTCCTGTGTTTCCATATAAATTTCACAGTAGATTTTTCGATCTCTTTAATGAATGTCATTGGAATTTTGATGGGAATTGCATTAAACATGTAGATTACTTTTGGGAATATCGACATTTTTACTATGTTGATTCTACCAATCCATGAGCATGGGAGATCTCTCCACTTTCTATAGTCTTCCTCAGTCTCTTTCTTCAGAAGTGTATAGTTTTCCTTGTAGAGGTCTTTCACATCCTTTGTTAGGTTTACACCTAGGTATTTGATTTTTTTTGAGGCTATTGTAAATGGAATTGTTTTTATACATTCTTTTTCAGTTTGCTCATTGTTAGTGTATAGAAATGCTAATGATTTTTCTATGTTGATTTTATATCCTGCTACCTTGCTTAGCTATTGATGGTGTCTAGGAGCTTTGGAGTAGAGTTTTTTGGGTCTTTAAGGTATAGGATCATGTCATCTGCAAATAGGGATATTTTGACAGTTTCTTTACCTATTTGTATTCCTTTTATTCCTTCTTCTTGCCTAATTGCTCTGGCTAGGAATTCCAGTACTATGTTGAATAGGAGTGGAGATAGTGGGCATCCTTGTCTGGTTCCTGATTTTAGAGGGAATGGTTTCAGTTTTTCTCCATTAAGTATAATGCTGGCTGTAGGTTCGTCATATATAGCTTTTATAATGTTGAGTTACTTTCCTTCTATTCCTAGTTTTCTTAGAGCTTTTATCATGAAATGGTGTTGGCTCTTATCAAAGGCTTTTTCTGCATCTATTGAGATGATCAAGTGTTTTTTGTCTTTGTTTCTGTTAATGTGGTTTATTACGTTTATTGATTTTCATATGTTGAACCACCCCTGCATCCCTGGGATGAAGCCTACTTGGTTGTGGTGAATAATCTTTTTGATGTGTTGTTGAATTTGGTTTGCCATTATTTTGTTGAGGATTTTTGCATCAATGTTCATTAAGCAGATTGGCCTATAGTTCTCCTTTTTGGAGGTGTCTTTGCCTGGTTTTGGGACAAGTGTAATACTGGCTTCATAAAATGTGTTTGGCAGTTTTCCTTCCCTTTCTATTTCGTGAAACAGTTTAAGGAGGGTTGGTATCAGTTCTTCTTTAAAGGTCTGATAGAATTCAGCAGAGAATCCATCAGGTCCTGGACTTTTCTTTTTGGGGAGACTCTTGATTGCTGCTTCAATTTCATTTTGTGTTATACATCTATTCAGGTGTTAATATCCTCTTGGTTCAGTTTTGGATGATCATATGTATCTAGAAATCTGTCCATTTCTTTTTGATTTTCAAATTTATTTGAATATAGGTTTTCGAAGTAGTCTGATGATTTCCTGGACTTCCATTGTGTTTGTTGTTACCTCCTGTTTTGCCTTCCTCATTCTACTAATTTGGGTTTTTTCTCTCCTCATTTTAGTCAGGTTTGCTAGGGGGTCTGTTGATCTTGTTTATTTTTTCAAAGAACCAACTCTTTGTTTCATTAATTCTTTGTATGATTTTTTTGGTGTCTGTTTGATTGATTTTAGCTCTTATTTTTATTATTTCTCTCCTTCTATTTGTCTTGGGATTTGCTTGTTCTTGTTTTTCTAGGAATTTGAGATGTATCATTAGGTCGTTGATTTGGGATCTTTCAGTCTTTTTAATACATGCACTCATGGCTATAAACTTTCCTCTCAGGACTGCCTTTGCTGTGTTGACAGGTTCTGGTAGGTTGTGTTTTCATTTTCATTGACTTCCAGGAACTTTCTAATATCCTCTTTTATGTCATTAGTGACTCATTGTTCATTAAGTAATGAGTTATTCAATTTCCAGCTGTTTGCATGTTTTTTGTCTTTACTTTTGTTGAGTTCTAGTTTTATTGCATTGTGATGAGATAGAATGCATGGTATAATTTCTATTTTCTTATATTTGCTGAGACTTGCTTTGTGTCCTAGGATATGATCTATTTTGGAGAAGGTTCCATGGGCTGCTGAGAAGAATGTATATTGTGTAGAAGTTGGATGAAATGTTCTGTAGACATCAACTAGGTTCATTTGATCTATTGTATATTTTAGATCTAGGATTTTTTATTGATTTTTTTGTTTGGATGGCCTATCTATTAATGATAATGGGGTGGTAAAATCTCCCACAACCACTGTGTTGGAGTTAATATATCCTTTTAGGTCTTTCAGGGTATGTTTGATGATATTGTGTTTGTTGACGTTGGGTGCATACAGGTTGATAATTGTTTTTTCCATTTGGTCTGTTTCCCCTTTTATTAGTATGGAATGTCCTTCTTTATCTCGTTTAATCAATGTAGGTTTGAAGTCTACTTTGTCAGAGATAAGTATTGCTACTCCTGCCTGTTTTCGGGGGCCATTGGCTTAGTAAATCTTCTTCCAGCCTTTGATCCTAAGCCTATGCTTATTTCTGTCGGTGAGATGGGTCGCCTGTCAGCAAGAAATTGTTGGATCTTCCTTTTTAATCCATTTCGTCAAACGGTGCCTTTTGATGGGGGAATGTAGTCCATTAACATTAAGCGTTAGTACTGATAGTTTTGTGGTGATTCTTGTCATTTAGTTGTCTTAGTTGTTTGAAGGTTTGATTGTGTGTACCTAAGTTGAGGTTACTCTCTACTGTCTTGCTTTTTCTTTTCCTGTAGTTTGTTGCTGTCTGCCCTTTCATGGTTATGTTGGGTTTACTTTCTGCGTGCAGAATCCCTTGAAGAATCTTTTGTAGTGGTGGCTTTGTGGTCACATATTGTTTTAGTTTCTGCTTATCATGGAAGACTTTTATTGCTCCATCTATTTTGAATGATAGTTTTGCTGGGTGGAGTGCCTGGGGTTGAAGTTATTTTCATTCAGTGCCAGAAGATCTCTCCCCACGCTCTTCTTGCTTTTAATATTTCTGTTGAGGAGTCTGTTGTGATTTTGATGGGTTTACCTTTGTATATTACTTGTTTTTTCTCTCTTACAGCCTCCAATATTCTTTCCCTAGTTTCTGAACTTGTTGTTTTAATGATGATATGCCGTGGGGTAATTCTATTTTGATCTGGTCTGTTTGGTGTTCTGGAGGCCTCTTGCATCTGTATGGAAATAGATTTCTCTAGATTTGGGAATTTTTCTGTTATTATTTTGTCGAATATATTATGCATTCCCTTTGCTTGCACATCTTCTCCTTATTTAATGCCCATGATTCTCAGGTTTGGTGTTTTGATGGAGTTGTTGAGTTCTTTGCATTTTTTCTTCACAGGTCTTGTGTTGTTTATCTAATTGTTCTTTGGTTTTTCCTTTAATTACTCTTTCATCTTTGAGTTCTGAGATTCTGTCTTCTGTTTGTTCTATTCTGCTGGATTGGCCTTCCATTTTGTTTTGCAATTCTGTTTCATTCTTTGTTCTGAGGTTTTCCATATCCTGAGTCCCTTCCTCTTTAATGTTGTCTATTTTCGCCCTGAGTTCATTTATCTCTTTATTAATCATGTTCTTTGTTTCACTTTGGTGTTTATACAGTACTTCTATGGGTTTCTTTTATTTCTTCTTTTGCTCTTTCAAATTCTCTATTTTTGTTGTCTTGGAATTTCTTGAGTGTCTCCTGTACATTTTGATTGACCATATCCAGTATCATCTCTATAAAATTCTCCTTGAGTACCTGTAGTATTTCTTCTTTTAGATTATTCTTGTGGGCTTCATTGGGTCCTTTGGCATAGTTTATCTTCATTTTGTTGGAGTCTGGATCTGAGTATCTGTTTTCTTCATTTCCCTCTGGTTCATTTACTAATTTTTTGCTGTGGTGATCTGGTTTCCCTGTTTTTTTGTCTTCTGCCCTTTGTGTTGTTATTGTCCCTGTACTGTGTGCAATTAAATATTTTCTAGCTTATAATAATAACACTGGTGATATTTAGAATGGAAGGGTGAGAGGAGATTGAAACCAAAGAAGTTAAAGAAAAAGAGAAAAATATATAAAAAAGTAGAAAGAAAACCAAAGAAACAAACAAAAAACATTTCAAAGATATAAACAGGGAGAGACTGTGTACTATTCAACAGTAAGCTGAACAGGCATTGGAGAGACAGGATTGGAAATAAAAAATAAAAAAACAAATAAATATTAAAAAATCTCCAAGTTCAAATGCAATAAAGTTTCAGTCTTAATAATTTGGTGTTTGTCCCTTAGCCTCCAATCCTGGAGATGGTGTTTCAGAAGTAGTTCTGTTGTTATCTCATCAAAGGGGAAAAAAACTAAAAAAACAAAACAAAACCAAACAGCACAAAACAAAACTCCACAAAGTGTCCCAAGTTCAAGTGCAATACAGTTTCAGTAAGTTTTTCAGCATGCAGGTGTAGTTCGGTTGTTTTCTCATCAAAGGTAGGGAGAGAAAAAAAAAGAGTCTGGAGACAGTTCTGTGAATGGCTATCTTTGGCTGTGGCTCACCTGCCCACTGTTGTCAGTCTGCTGTTGCTAGAGGCTTTATTTATGCAGATCTCAGGAGTGAGCTTAACATTCACCTAGCCCCTCATGCTTTGTTGACTTAGAATTCTGCTGGGCTCAAGCCACTGCTACAGACTTTTCCCTTTCCAAGCACACTTGGGGAGGTGACACTGCACCAGATTTCTCAGGCTGGCGTGTTTATTTACAGTTCACGTGGGAAGTGGCTTTAACCACCTTTTAAAATTGTAAAAAGTCTGCTTAACTTTTGCTTCTTGTTTTCCAACTCACTTCTTCAGGATAAAAGTGGGTGAAGATTGGATATTGTTCTTTTATGACCTGGTATGGGCTGTACACAGTAGCTGCAGCATCATGACTGAGTTGTATAGCATTCACCCAGTTAGACACAGGAAATTCTCCAGCAGAAATCTCAGTGTCAGTCATGCTCACTAAGACCCTTAGGAGGCAGTCTCATTTACAGGCACTCAGGTCGTGTTTTGCACATCCATTTGCAGCGAACTTTAAACACAACAAGGAGATTGGACTTTGAGCATATGATTAAGCTAGAGCATACAAGGGAGGGGTGAGGATAGGTAAGACACCTAAAAAATCAGCTAGCATTTGTTGCCGTTAACGCAGAGAAACTAAAGCAGATACCTTAAAAGCAACTGAGGCCAATAGGAGACGGGGACCAGGAACTAGAGAAAAGGTTAGATCAAAAAGAATTAACCTAGAAGGTAACACACACGCACAGGAAATTAACGTGAGTCAACTCCCTGTATAGCTATCCTTATCTCAACTAGCAAAAACCCTTGTTCCTTCCTATTATTGCTTATACTCTCTCTTCAACAAAATTAGAGATAAGGGCAAAATAGTTTCTGCTGGGTATTGAGGAGTTGGGGGGGAAAGGAGGGGACGGAGTCGGTGGTAAGGGAGAGGGTTGGGGCAGGGGGGGAGAAATGACCCAAGCCTTGTATGCACATATGAATAATAAAACAATTTAAAAAAATTAAAAAAAAATAAAGCAACTCACTATCCCTGATTTTTGTATTTGGGATTTTCGAATAGCCATAGTTGCTGAATTAATAGCGCTTTCCACCATCAGAGACAGTAAAGTTGTTAGCAAGAAGCAAGTGATTAAAAAAAGTACTTGTAAATTAACTCCTGTTGTAGACATTGTCTACTTGATTTTTGTTTACTTATATACATGGAAATGTCACAGTGAAACACTCTGTATAGCGATCTCAAGCAAACAAAAAAAAATTTTTTTTTTAACAAAAAAAGAGAACAGGAAGGCAAACCAGGTCCTGTTTGTGGGGGTTGGTAACAGTGGGAGTGGGAGGATATAAGGAAAGGGTGTACAAGGGTGAATATAGTGCAAAATATTTTATGCTGATGTATGAAAATGGAAAAATGAGACATGTTGAAAGTGTTCCAGGAATAGGGGGAGGGGAGGGGATAAAGGAGAACGATGGAGGGGGTAAATTCAACTATGATATGTTGTAAGAACTTTTGTAAATGTCACAATGTACTCCCAGTAGAACTATAATGAAAAAATCTGCTCTATCACTGATACTCTATTCACATCTTTTTAATAGCAAAACTAGGTGTGTGAGCAGTTAATAGTTTTGAGATGTTAAAATTTCAGATTTGACAAAAATGTCAACGAGAAAATAATTTTTTATAAACTTCCTCTAGGCTAGTGCCATTGGCTATAAGTTCCCTTCCTTTTCTTCTGATTATACACAACTGGATACGATCATGTATGCCCTGGGAGTGGGGGCATCTGTCAAAGAACCAATGGACCTGAAGTTCGTGTATGAAGGAAGTTCTGACTTCTCCTGTCTGCCGACCTTTGGAGTTATCTTGGCTCAGAAGACTTTGATGGGTGGAGGACTGGCAGAGGTTCCTGGGCTTTCGGTTAACTTTGTGAAGGTACACCTCATATGAAATGCTTATTTGACCTTTCTTCTGTTTGTTTAAATGACATTGATAAATGTCACATCCCATATGTATATGTGTCATGTATATGTAACATGTATAAAACTATAAAATAGCTTGCAGTGGTTGGTTCAGGAATAATGATTTAGCATATCTTTTGATCTTTCATTTTAAGAATAAAAGATGGGAGAGGTCATTTAAAATGCCAGCAAAAAGAGAAAAACAATTGTGTATTCCCACAGCCCAGGCATAATGGTAGTAATCCCCTCTGCTATTTCTTGCTATTTGACCAAAGTTAAATAACTTCTCTAGGCTTTAGTTTTCTTATTTTTGAGAAGCATGTGATAATCTTTACCACATGGACTAAAGTTAGCAGGGCAGGTGTATGTGGGGCAGAGAAAACAAGTGTTAGAGCCTCGAGGGGGCACAGACCTGGCTTGTGGAGTAGATGTGGAGTGGGGAAGGTTTACTATGCATGGGTGACAGAAGAAATGGGCCTTGTAGTCATGGTTGGGACTTCAGCCTACACTGTGATTAAGCTAAGTGGTCCCATGAACCAGCTACACTCACTTCCAGGTTAAAGCTTGTGTCTGTGTGGAGAAGAGTTTGTGTGGGAGCCAAGCATGGAAGTAAGAGAACACTGAGGAGTAGATTGCAGTAATCCAGGCAGAAGGGCTGAGTGTGAGGGGAGGAAAGAGGAGTTGTGAGGGAGTTGTTTGTTCTGGACAACTGAGATTATGTAGATATAATCACACACACTTTCTGGGATTACAGGTGTGTGCCACCACGCCTAGCTTCATACACACTTATTTTAAGATGGGGTTGGTCAGGAGTTGGTTTTGGATAAGTTTGAGATGTTCATTATGTATCAAAATGGAGATGTAAAAAGGGCAGTTGAGAGTGAGTGTAGAGTTTAGGGGAAAGGTCTGACCAGGATCCTTAGTTTTCAGGGGATGTTTAAGACTTAAGCTAGATGAAATCACCTAATCTGTGAGTACTGGTAGGGAAGAGGCCTGAGCTTCAGGGCCCTGTAGAGTTTAAGAGGTTGAAGAGCTGCAGAGAAGCTACCAGGAGAGACTTAGAAAGCTAGCCCATGCGATATTAGGGACATTGCACTTGAGATGCCAGGTGAGTAAAGCCTTTGAAGAAGGAAGAAATGAGAAATGGTAAGAAAAGCCTTTAGTTCTTGGAGTGAATCACAGAGCCATGAGCAGATCTGTGAAATTATGTCATTTAGCCTGTTGCTAGTGGCCATTCCATTTGAATAGGTGGGGACTTATTTTGAGTGTTTGATGAAGTTGGAAGGAGAGAAATATGCGCTGGGCAGTTTGCTGTGTTATTTTCTCGCCTATGTTATTCTTGGCACACCATTCTTCTGTAAGTGTGAAACACTTAAACAAATGTTTCAGAACTCCCTCCTAGAGTTAGAAATCATAAATGCTGCTCATAGTTTGATTGGGAGTGACAGCCATTTGGAAACTTTAGTCTCAGTTTTCTAGCCTTGGGCTTCCAAGCTATATGGCAAAGTGAGGCAGACTGTCCTTCATTTACTTTCCAAAAGCCACCTCTTCCTTTTGGATTTTAAGGAAGGCAGAGAACTGTCCCACCACAGGGAACACATCATTTGTGTGTAAGGGTTAAGTTTTGCTTTTCCTGACACATTGTTTTTTCTAAGTATGTGTGTTTTTGCTTTGCTACACTGAGGTTAAGTGGCTACTAAGTACAAGATACTATATAAAGGAGGCTGATAGAATGGCTGGGTAGTAGCATGCCTGCCTAAAGTGTGAGGCCCTGAGTTCAATAAAGAGAGTGTTGACATTTATAGTGCATTTCCTTTGAACATGGTTTGAAGGTTCATCTTCAGAGTCAGTTTTGTTTGGTGTGTGTGACCTGAAGTTGCCATTACTGTCCCATTTGCTCATTTCTGTTCAACAGATACTTGTTGGATGCTTAATATGGTATAGGCACTGTTATAAGCACTGGAAATACAACCTGTCTGAATGTCTCTGTTGGCATATAATGCATAATTATTAGTCATCAAGGGTTCATGAATGCCAGGAAAAACATAAATACGTCTTCTCTGCTCCAAAAATGCTGCTGTCCTTAGACTGGGTTCTGAGTCACATGATTAAGAAGCAGAGGCCTAACTGAGACAGTGTAGGGGAGCAGTGATATGAGATGGGCATGTGGACGGTAAAATGTCTCTGTGACTACCAGTGCTCACAGGCAGACCTGTGGGACAAAAAAGTTGGCTAACAAGAGTCTTCTTATCCTTACAACAGCTTCTTCATGGGGAGCACTACTTGGAGTTGTATAAACCACTTCCTAGAGAAGGTGAGTTCTTCACACTAATCCCATAATACCATAATTTTCTGATCAGTCTTCCCAACTGCCATTGTGCTAAACTGCATAGAGTGACTCAGAAAGAACTAGTACCTTCCTGTTTTAGTTACCTTAAAATTGTCCATTAATAGTCTTGTGATCAATAATTTTATGACATATTCTATAAACATAATTTATCTGTTTATATAATAAAGGAGTTATTAATGATGGGCAAGAACAGTGTGTGTGTGTCTCAATTTAGTGGTTATGAACGATCATTAGCTGTCATTCTTCTGGTTACAGTTCTTCATTCTTCATCTTGATACTTTCATAGAGTAAGCAATGTTAAAAGATGTAGAACTTGTAATTATGTTTTTTTCCCCTATTTTCTTTTTGAGAAAATAAAACCAAGGCTACCTGATCACCACTTTTCTCTTTGATCAGCATTATTTTACTTGCTCATGATGGCTTCTCTTTTTAGTCTTTCTTTTTTTCCTCTGGTCTGGAATTTGAACTCAGGGCCTTATGCTTGCAAGGCAGGTGCTCTACCACTTAAGCCACACTCCCAGCCCTTTCTTTTTTGTGTCACTATAATTTAATGTATTTGATTTGTTTCTTTCCTTTGATGTCAGAATGTTGTCCAGTTATACACTGGACATGTCAAGTGGTAAAATGCAAAAAAGACTTTATTTACCATTTCACATTGTATATAATGTGGAGGTCAGCAAGTAGCTAGAATCCCACCTTAATGTCTTACTTAATCTTTTTTATTTTACTAAAACTTTTATGAGTTTTTTTACTGTATAAGGTAGATCAGCTTCATTTCAGCATATTATAGCATACATTTTGGAACAGCCCTTTTTATCTGAGACAGTGGTGATTGTGCATTGATTGTACCTCTGCTGGATGCCCACCATTTGCAAAGCGCTGTATTAGGTGTTAAGAGATTTTCTAACTTGACTGCATAGCACAATCACCTGAGTTATTCCATTATATTACCTGTCACTTCTAGTGAAGTGTGCATTCTGGACGCCAGCCTTGGCGGTTTTGTGTGTCTTGTGGTATGGTGGTTGATTTGGGAACCACTGTCATAAAGGAGTATGAATGTACTAGGTTCTGTGCTTAGGGGCTTTAGAATATGAAGAAAGATCAGACATGCTCTTAAATGATGGTGATGCTCAGCGGCAATGAATGGGAAGGCCTGGGTGACACTGCTTATAATTTCTTTACCTCCTTAGCTGCCAGTTATCTTTCCCACGAATTACTTGTCTTCAGTGGTGTCTGTACATTTCCATTGTAGAGTTTTAAAGTTCACTTTCCAGTAATTGTGAGTATTCAAAATTTGAGGTCTATGTGGTTTGGAATCTTTTTAGACTGCAGAGATTGGAAAGCCTGGCTACCATTCATAGTCTGTCACACAGTGCACCCTGGAGACTAGACCTGAGCACTGGAGCTGGTGTCAGCATATCACTGGCTCATTGTTGACTCAGGGCAGCCATGATGGGCAACAAACCTTAGGTGCAGAGGGAAAAGCCTGACAGCAGCACCCTGCTTCCTCTGTCAGAGGGTGCACTCTCCTCCAGGCTGTACTGGTCTCTAGGTTTTCTGAGTGTACGATAACTTCTGCTATCAGTGCAAAACAATGTATTGTTTCATCTGGGAAGTGAGATTGCAACAGTGCTAGCAACCTGAGTCTCTTGACTGAGAATCTATGACCATCAAATATTAGTATGTATAAAGTGCTTTTAAACAGCTAAGTATTATGCAAATGTAATTATTATGCCAGATTTCTAAAAAACCATCTCACTGAGCTGTGGTTTTGGTTGATAGTACAGATTTAACCTTCTCCTAAGTACTCATTTAGCTGAGTCTTTACAAAATTATAAAATGTGTTTATTACAGAAATTTTGGAAAGTACAGAAAAATAGACAAGAAAACAGTTGTCTGAAATTATTCACTTAATAAGTGTTCTGTGCCAGGCATTCTGTCAAGTGAGGGCTGGTAGTAGAATCACAGAAAAGTCATTATCCTTGTTTGTCCAGAGCTTAGGTGAACATTGGATGGTTCCCTGTAATGGGAGACCTATAAGTGTACGTAGGTGCACACAGGGAGGTCTCCAACCAGAACTGAACCTGGGTTGGGGACACTTGTTTTGTTTCACAATACTGGGGTTATTTATGTAATAATGTATGCTACTTTTCCTTTTAGGAAAATTTAAATGTGAAGCATCTATTGCTGATGTCCTAGATAAAGGATCTGGCCTTGTCATTCTTTTGGATGGTAACTCATTTACAGTTTTTACAACAATATTGTTAGATTGATAGGCATTGTATGTAATGTAATACTTTATCAGAGAAATTTATTAATAAATTTGCATTATTTTCTGATTTGTAAGATGGCAAGGTAAGTATTTAAAAGCTTTATTGACTTTTTAAGAAGGAAGGAGGGGTGTAGGGAGCAGACTGGGGTATGACTTAGGGGGAGGGTGGGGCATTTTCAGTGGATGAAAACAATATAACTAAAGCACAGAGGGGAGAAATGTGGCTTCAGTACAAATCATAGAGAATTGTTCCTGCAGAAGCTCTCAATTGCTAGTTAAGCCATATTGTTGATATTCTTTTCTGTGTTAGCTGTTTGGAACATGAAGAATAATCCTGTGGTCAACATGGTAATTAGTGTTCTAGACTTGGATATTTAAGCCTGTTTTACTCATAATGTGGCCTAAACATCATAGTCACATTTTATCTGCAGTGAGAAAAAAATTATAGTAGTTTAATAACTACAGATAGAAATCCCAGTAACTAAGCTGGGCGCCGGAGGCTCACGCCTGTAATCCTAGCTATGCAGGAGGCAGAGATCGGGAGGATCATGATTCAAAGCCAGCCCGGGCAAATAGTTCATGAGACCCTATCTCGAAAAAACCCTTCACAAAAAAAATGGCTGATGTTGTGGCTCAAGTGGTAGAGCGACTGCCTGACAAGTGTGAGGCCCTTAGTTCAAACCCCAGTGCTGCCAAAAAAAAAAAAAAAAAAAAAAAAAGTACAAGTAACTAAATATAAACTAAAGACTTGCTTAAAATTATTTTAAAGTGTAAGAAGAAAAGAAATAGTTTAAAATTTAGAAATAAAGAACAGTGGAAATTCATTACTGCTTGCTTCTTGGAGTACAGGCCCTGTCATTTTGATGGAGGTCATGCAGATGGCTCCTTGACTTAACGTGGGCCCTATCCTGATAAGTCCATGGTGAATTGGAAATGACTTACATCAGAAACTCACTTGATACTACTCACCTTCAGAACATTCTAGCCTGGCACTGTGTCAGTGCTCTGCAGAGTATCAGTTCACCCTGCGTGACTGCACGGCTCGTGGAGCTGGTGATATTGCTGCTCTTCAGCATTGTGGGAAATTCTCACACACCGTATTGCTAGCTTGGGGGAAAATCAGAATTTAAAATCTGGCTTTCAGTTTCTTGTGAAGATGGACAGTATTAACACCATTGCAAAGTTGAAAAATTTTAAGTTGAACCATAGTAAGTTGGGGACCATCTGTTTTGGAACTTGCCTTATTTTTACTTAATAATATATTGAAAATGTTTTTGATGCTTTTAAATACTGTGTATGTTCACTTTTTTTCTTTCTTCCTCTTTCTCCTCCTTCCGTTTTTAGGTTTTCACACTTGTTTTCCAGATGTTGGCCAATGTTTGACTAAAATCATCCTGTTCTCTGTTAGTCATCTCACCCTTGTACCCAGTGCAGCATAACTCGAAGGTCATGAGTGGCCTTGCTTTAATTTTCATTCTCTCTTGATCTGCTCATTTATCCAACTACAGCTTGGTACCGGGACACAGCACAGTATATTAGAAATTGTAAATATGGATTAGGTGAAATTAGGAATCCTAATTTCTTTCATTTTTTTTTTCTTTATTTACTTTTTTGCAGTACTGGGGCTTGAACTCCTGGCCTACACCTTGAGCTACTCCATCAACCCTTTTTGTGTTGGGTATTTTTGAGATAGGGTCTTGCAAGCTATTTGCTTGGGTTTGTTTTGAGCTGGGATCCTCCTGATCTCTACCTCCTAAGTAGCTAGGAGTACAGGCGTGAGCCACTGGCACCCAGCTAGAAATCCTCGTTTCTTGTGTAATAAAAATAAAAATCTTATTGTAAATACAAATTGCTATTAATCTCCTTATTTTTGTTATAAATAGATTTTTCTTTAGTATACATATCAAATCATATTTCAAAGTTTTTAGAACCAGATATAAAACAGATAAATACCAAATCACTCACTAATAGGGAAGAGCTGTCTTATTATTATTTGCTAACTTGCTCACTTACTTATTTAGTGATTTATTAGTTAATTTACCAAACATTTATTAGATGCCTTTTTATGCCAGTATGAAATTTTAATTTTCTGGGCACATTGGTAGCAGGCAAGACTCCAGCCCCGGTGCTTATCCTTTACTCCCTTACCACCTGCCTCTTTTTCTACATGCTGTGCTCTTAAATACTTCAACAAAATGTTTGAAAGTTTGAGTGTGGCTTCTTGCATTTTCCAGGACAATAGTGTGAAATGTTTGTGGTGGAAGAAATTGAAATATGATTGGCAGTTGGGGAGGCTTAGGAAGAGGCGAGAGAAACTAACTTCAACTAAGACATGATTTGTGAAGCTCTTTATGTTTTTCAGAGATTGAGGATTGGTACATTAAAATGATCTCTTTGTAATCCAAATTTAGTCATTTGTAAAATGCAGACAGACCCTTTCAGTAATTGGATTTTGTTTTTGAAACTTTTAAAGGAATTGTTGGGCATTTCTTGGTTATCTTGTTTTGTCTTTTGATAATAATTCCTTTCATTTTATAGTCTATTCTTATTCTGGGAAGGAACTTGTATGCTATAATCAGTTCTCTGTCTTCATCGTTGGCTCTGGAGGCTTTGGTGGGAAACAGACATCAGAGAAAGCCAAGGTAAGGCATGGATTTAAAAAATTTTTTTTACTAAAAGGTCCGGAGAGGGGAGGGGCAGACACCAAGATGACATTTTTAGACATAATATTTGCACATCTTTATGGTGTATGCTGGGTCATTAAACACTTGTGTACCATGTGTAATGAATTAGGATAATTAGCATTTGCATCACTTCAAACTTGAACCATTTTCGTGTCTTGGAAATTGGTACTCTTCTACTAATTTTGAGATTATCATAGATTTTTTTTAACCTATGTTCTTCTACTGTGCTAAAGAACTGGAAGTGATTCTTCTTCTCCAACTGTGTTTTTGGTGCCCCTTACTGACCTTCTTTCCATCCTCTTTTTTTTTTTTGTCTGTTTGTCTGATTTTGATATCATGGTAATTTTGGCCCCATAAAGAGTTTGGCAGAGTTTCATCTGTTTCAGCCTTTTTGGAATCTTTTAAGAAGAATTGGAGTAGTTCTTTAAATGTTTTGTAGAATTCAGCAGTAGAGCTATAAAGTTCTGGACTTTCTTTTTTTACACTGGGAAATTCTTAATTATTGCTTCAATTTCATTACTCATTATTGATGTATTTAGATTACTTCTTGATTCAGTTTTGGTTGTATATGTTTAGGAATTTAACCATTTTTTCTTGTAGTGTTTTAGCGAAGTACTTGTCATGGCTTCTTACCATCTTTTATAATTCTATGGTATATTATGTCTCTTTTATCAGCTCTGATTTTATTTATTTGGGTATTCTTTTTTTAAGTCTAGCTAAAGGTTTGTATTATTTGTTTCTTAGCTTTTACAAGAGCATTATTTCATTGGTCTTCTGTGTTTTTAGTTTCAATTTTAATTATTTCCTTCCTTCTCCCAGTTTTGGTTTATTCTTGCTTTTCTGAGTCTGTCAAATACAGTTAGGCTTTTAAAATTTGAGGTCTTTCTATTTTTAATGTATGTACTTACAGCTATAAACATCCTTCTTAGCATTGCTTTTGCAGTATCCCACACACTTTGTTCTGTTGTCATTACCATTTATTTCTTGAAGTTTTTGTTTTCCTTTTAATTTTTTCAGTTACCCACTGGTCATTTATGTTACTTAATCTCCATGTGTTTGAATATTCTTCATTCTTCTTGTTAATTCTGCTTTGGTACATGATGCAATAACCAATTTTGAAAAAATTTTTGAGATTTGATTTGTAGTTCAACATGATTTATCTTGGAGAGCATTCCATGTGCTGATGAGAAGACTGTGTACTATGGTGCAACTGGGTGAAATGTGCTGTAAATATCCATTAGGTTCATTTGCTGTATTATAGGGTTCAACTCAGATGTTTGTTGATTTTCTGCCTGAGTAATCTGTCCATTGAGGACAGTGGGTGCTGAAATCCCTAGCTATTTTTACACTGGAGTCTGTTCTCTCTAGATCTATTAACATTTCCTTTAGATATTTGGGTGATTACATATATACATGTATGTTGGGTGCAAACATACTCATAATTGTTACATATTTTTACTGAATTGATCCTCTTATCAATTGATAATGCTAAATTTGATGTTGATGATGTTTCCACAATCCTGAGAAGATACTAAAAACCATGGGGTTTTACATTTTCAGTGGATGAATTGTATGTGAATTATGTATCAACACAGGTGTACCAATTTAGCTACCACTTAAAAAAATTGTGATCATTTCTTTCTGTTGTGTGGGCAGATTACTTTACAATTACTCAGTAATTACCAGACAAGTGCACTGCTACTTAGCCACATCCCCACTCTGCATGTGCATCTGTGACATGGGTAGCATGGAGAATTGTGGAAGCTAGGCTGCTTTCCCTAGTTGGTATCACAGCAAAGGAACAGCAGGTCCTCACTAGTGTCACGTGTTGCTTTGAGAACAAATGGGAGCTGATGCTGCATCGTGGTGATGCATGTGCCATCCTCGTTTGCTGTCCTGTTAACCATGAAACTCAGGGCATCACATCTATCTTCTGTGTGCTTTGCTCATACCTTTGTGGCTGTGGCTTAAAGTTGACTTTGCAGAATAAACTTTTTAGAAGTACTAAAAATCTTAGAAGACACTTCAGGGCTACTTCAAGATTGGGGTGTGAAATCTCCCCAAACATCTCTGCTCCAAAACCCGGTAGAATGAAATGAAAATAAATATGTCAATAAAGCTTGCAAAATATACAGCAAGCAACTGACACGAAGGGTGCAGCTCCTGTAGTAAATCTTGGAAAACAGCAGTTCTTGTTTGCTTTTAGACATAGCATCTTTCTCTGTGATCTTTTACTGTCAATGTTTTTTGGTGCTTTGCAAGGATAAATTTGGTTAGGAAAAAAAATAATAACAGCAAAAAAGGAATTTGGTAATATATCTGAACTTGGCATTAATGATGGAAGATTGCTGCCTAATTCCACTTTATTAGAGAAAATTTGTGTAATAGAGATAGACATGAATCTGATTTTTCTATTATGAATTACTGATAGTAGTTATTCGAATACAATTCAACTAAGGAGGATGTTTTTTATCTTTACTTTGGTTTAAATCAATCAGAAATCTGCTCAGATTTTACTTTGTAGCCAATAGTTTTACTTCTCTACGTTAAGAGCCATAATAATTCAAAATTCTTTTGGTAACTGAGTTTAAAGTGTAATTTTGTAAGATGGCAAATTAAAATATATAAAGAGGGGGGAGAAATGACCTAAACAATGTACATACATTGAATAGATGAATAATAATTAAAAAAAGATTTTTAAAGACCAGTTTTAAAGACTGATTAGAAAAAAATACTGATTAGCTTAGCTTGATTATCTCATTCTTAGATTGGCATTGTCTTTTGTACAGGAAAACCCTGTGCGACCTGTAGAATGGAACTGATTATATAATTCCTTACATTAAAGATGATTTCAGGAGAATTAAATTTATATGAACTAGGAGTTATGAAATTTTAAATCTAAGACAAAACCCCCCTTATTTCCAGTTTGTAGGATTTATTATATTGAAATGTGTTTGTGTGTTGTGTTGAAGATGTAACCTTGTAACCTGTTATGTCTTTTGATTTCAGCCAGCTGTAGTGGTACCTAGTAGGCCTCCCGATGCTGTACTTACAGACACCACCTCACTCAATCAGGTAAGATTGTATTGTTGAAAAGTGATAAGTGCACCTGCCTGATGACACCCTTTTATTTTTAACTCTGATGCTTATACTTTTGTGCACCTAAAAGTGGTGCCCATGTCTTCAACATAATTAAAACAAAGACATGTTTCTGTTGATTGTAATTCCTTAGTTGTCAGTTTCTTTCTCCATTTGGTCTCAAAAGAAAATATGAAATGCTTTTTCATGAGCCAATTCAGAAAGCACTGAACTTTGTTGACATGGACTGCTTGCCTTGAGTGTAGAATTTCATGACATTCTGGGCAAATTAACAGGTTTAAAAGCCCAGTGTTAGCCAGCCTTTCACTCTTTGGAAGGAAAGCTGTGCCTCACTGCTCAAAAACAGGTTGTTTCATGCTAATAAAGGCCAGGCCAGAGTGAAATGTTTTAGGTATAGAAGGTGACTCAGTACATTTTGTTTGGCATGATGTACTTACTGAGAGCAGATAAAATGTCCTGTCAGTTCATAATTCTGTGAGGGTGCCAAGACTTACTTAAGAAACAAAAAAAGCCATAAAGATGAGAAAAAAATTTTTTTTTTTTTGGCAGCACTGAGGTTTGAACTTAGGGCTTTGTGCTTGCAAAGCGGACTCTCTACCACTAAAGGCACATCTCTAGCCCTTTTTCCTCTGGTTATTTTGGAAATGGGGGTCTCACTGTATTTTTCTGAAGTGGGCCTGGACTATGATCCTTCTCTTTTATGCTTCCCACTGTAGCTGGGGTGACAGGTGTGCACCACCATGCCCAGTTTTTTCTGTTGAAATGGAGTCTTGCAAACTTTTTTGCCCAGGCTGGCCTTGAACTATGATCTTCTTGATCTCAGCTTCCCAAAACTGGCTTGGATTACAGGTGTGGCCCATCGGAACCAGGCTGCAAAGTGGTTTTTTTTTTTTTTTTTGAAAGACCTCAGAATTCTTTTCTGAGAATTTTTCAGAAGACTGGTGATGTAGATATGGCATGAAATCCTTAAACCTTCTGGAGTTAGGCCACCTGTGAGTATGTAAAGCTGCAGATTTTGCTTAACAGTCATTTATTTCAAATGTGATTTTGGTCTGTTTGAGGACTTCTGCAACATTTATGTTACCCAGCAAATACAAGTATAATTTTTAGGCAGAATTAAGGTTGGTCCACACAAGTTACATAGTTAGGTGATGGGAGTCCCACTTCACCCTTAGGTGGGCTTTTCCTTGAAGAGCTCTCCATCCCTTACTGCTTCTGTTCAGTTTCTTACTAATGTGCTTACATGAAGCTTAACAGAGATGTTAGTTTTGCTAAGATATTAGAAGAACAGAAAAACTCCTCATTGCAGGAGGAGAGCAGAGAGCGCCATGTGTGCAGGAGTGAGCATTTGAGCACTCATGGTGGGAGGTTAGTTGAGGTACTGTGCAGGACTAGACCCTTAAGAAAAAGTGAAGGAAGGGACATTATGCCATCACAGGATAGGCTTGCTAGGAGTTGACAGCCACTAAATAATGTTAGTCAGTAGGAAACTGTCAGCCCTGGATGTTTAGCTCCACCGTATCACTCCTGGAATGTGCTATTTGTAATGTGCTTAGGAGAGTTTCTTCATCTTCAAGCTGGAATGACAATACAAGTGAACTCTATAGTTTCATAATTCATAAATAAAAACTAAGCTGCAGTAATGTAGCAAGACCAAAGAATAAATATACATTAGATACCAGGCTTTGTATTTGAGGGCCATGAGAACAAATGTCTATGCTTCTCTCTCTCTCTCTCTTCTATGTATATATATATATCTATAGATAGATATAGATACAGATATAGATATATAGATACATATAGCTATATATAGATAGATAAAGATATATATTCCTATATATCTATATATATATATCTCCCTATATATAGATATATATATATATTCCTATATATCTGTATATTCCTGTAAGTCAGTAGTTTAAATAATTTTTGACTTGCTTTAGTAACATTTAGAGAACAAAAAGAATTGAGTTATTGAAAAAGTGAATAATTTATAGAACTATCCTGTGGAGTAATGGAAAAGGGAAAGAACACATTCAAACTATATAAAACATTAAAAAGGGAATGCAGTTTTCTTACAAACTACAAAAATACTATTTTCTACAAATGAAACTTGTTACAAAAGAATAATCAGTAATTTAAAAAAGTTAGCCGTGCTGACAAAATCAGCTAGGCTGATGTTACTCAGCCTTAAACAACATTTTAATAGTCTTGGACAACTTAACAAGGCATTTGGTGAGAAAGAGGAAGTGCTGAAGCAGACCCTGAGCATTAAGTACTTACTGTTAGCTGTTCTGTGGCTGTCCTCCCTTCAACTCTGAAAAGTAATCTCTAGTTCGAAGAGTGCACAGTTAACTGCTGGAAAGTATGGTGACTCTTCCCTACTGTTATCTATGTCTTCTGGAAATCCACTTTAGGTAAATAAGCAAAGTGAGAATCTGGACTCTGCAGAAATCTAATCAGATTGGCAGCTGTCAGTCTGTTTTCTTGCATAGGAAGCTGATACTCAGGACTTAACTGCCAGAATGAAAATTTGTGAGAAGTCTGTGATGTTCATATGTGTAGCATTGTGCTGTAGGCTTCAATTTAAAACACCCTGTTAAGAAAGTTGGCATAAGCTTTGTTTGGTTTGAAGAGATTGTAAACATTTACTTTGTCTTCATTGTGTGTTAGTGAGACTAGATTGATGAATTTCTTGTGAATTTCTCCTTAGGCAGTGCTATGCAGTTTTTGGCTCTCTTTCTTACTTTTTTACAGTCCTTCCTCCTCCCTACTGATTTCAGCATCAGTGTTACATTTAATTAGCAGGCAGTCTTTCTTGTTAGAAATAGTTATTTTAAAATCAGAACCTGGATTACTGTGTACATTGTGATGCACTGTTACATAGTAGCTAGCCATATTTCCTCCTCTTCATTTAGAGTTTTCTTAGGACTCAGGAGCACTGTGACATTATGATTGTTTGTTCCACAGGCTGCTTTGTACCGCCTTAGTGGAGACTGGAATCCCTTACACATCGACACTACCTTTGCTAGCATGGCAGGTGAGTTCTCATGGAAAATCTAAACCACGTACTGAAAGACAGTGCTGCTGTGACTGGTAATCTGAGTAACATTCAAAGAATAGCTGTCTTACTCTATTTCTGCAAAGGATATGGAAAGGTCAGAAGTAGTGGGATCCAGGTTATGGTGGAGCAGAGCTCGTGCTCATGCAGGGTCTACAGTGAAGGATGAGGTCGCTGCATGACAGCAAAGGACCAAAAAGTTCTTGAGGCCCCTCTCCCACAGGGACACAGAAGCGAATCTCCGTGGTGACTTTGTGGGCACAAAGATAAATGAAACAATTCTCAGAGTTCTGACCTCTCACGTTCATTTCTTGTTTCTCTTCCCCTCTTCCCTTCATTTTCTCCCAGGAAGTACTACTTTCAAAGTATTTTCCACATGCCTTAAAACAGATAGTATCATTCCTACTCATGCAGCTCAAAGACATCTTTAAAACTCTGAATCCAGTATGTAGTTTGTTTTTTAAAATGGAAGGTGCCAATGTCCACCTGAACTTTCTTTTTTAGGTTTCAAGAAACCCATATTGCATGGATTGTGTACCTTTGGATTTTCTGCAAGGCATATCTTACGGCGGTTTGCAGAAAACGATGTGTCGAGGTTCAAGGCAATTAAGGTGCACAAATTACATAACTGAACGTTCTCTTCATCAGGGAAGGCGTGTTGGTGGCTTAATTTAAAGGAGGTTCCACACTGCAGAAATTGACATTTTATTATTCCATGGAATTGGCTTTCAGTGCATTTCCTTTATGTGGCTATAAATACCCGTATCCTTGCATACAAGGAATCCTGTACGTACAGTTTTAACAGATTGGTTGGATTTTTTAAATGAATTAATTAGATATATGCTCATGTTAGCATATATACTTTAAAAACTTAAGATTTACTTTTTGTTTTGTTATTTGCCTTAATTTAACTGAAAATATTAAATGGCTGGATTTGAATTCTAATAAACATATACTTATTGCATTATGATAACTGCATATTGTTTATAATTTTGTATCTTTAAGTTGATTTCAAGATTTTAACCAGGTTTTAAAGTTATTTTATAACTATCAAAAATATTGTGCCTACAATATTTTTGCATAAGTCAAAACATGTACTCTTAGCTGAGCATGGTAGTGCATTTCTGTAATCCCAGCACTTAAGAGGCTGAGGTAGAATAATCACAAATTTGGGCCAGCTTGGTACACACAAGACTCTGTTTCAAAAAAGCGGATGGGGGTATGAGGTGGGAAATATTACACTGAAAAGTGTTTGACTCAGTGTCAGACAGCTAAAAACTTACAGTGAAGACATGATTCCTGATGCTCTGACTGCACCTGTTATTCTCGTGCTTTTGTTTTATTATCCAATATGTGTGTAAGAGTCAATATAGTAGTATGGAAGATTACAAAATAACTAAATTAGGAACTAATCAAGAATTAAAAATTGAGTCCTACATGTCCACCCCAGGCCTCGTTCCCCTTGTTTTGGAGGTCACAGATGTAGCTCCACCTTATGGCTTGATTTGTCAGGAAATGATTCTGCATTGTGAGAGGCAGTTAGCTTCTCCTCTTTTTTATAAGTTTGTACATGTTTTATGAACCTAAATATATTTTCTTCCTTTTATGCTCTGACCTCCCAGGAGAAGAGTTTCATTTTGAAGCACTTTTAACCCCCATACTCTTGTTTTTAAAGGTTCGTTTTGCAAAGCCAGTGTATCCTGGACAAACTCTGCAAACTGAGATGTGGGAGGAAGGAAACAGAATCCACTTTCAAACCAAGGTATGAAGGAGAGAGCTTCAGTACTTTCTGTCACGTCCTCACCACACTCCATAATTTGCTATTTCAGTATAAACATGAGACAAAAACCCAGAAGGTTTTAATCAGCACTTTAAGAAACACCATTTTAATTAGTATATGATACTTACACAGGGGCTTTCATTGTACATTTCCATATATACATGCATTATGCCCTGGTTTGGTTCATCCCCTCCATTCTCCCTTCAACCCCCTCCCTCTTCTTAAATTCAGTGTCCATACAAAGTACATCTGTCCATATTCAACTTCCTTTACCCTCCCCTCCAGCCAGTGCCCTTATCTTAACATGACCTGCCCTTTATTGTTCAGTAGAGATTTTGCCTTAGTCTTTTACCTATAAATATATTGTGCCTAAGTCAGTCCAACCCCCAACACTACTCTTCCTCACCAGTTTCAATGCTAACTTTAAATTGAAAATAAGATCCCTTGTATGCCTTGTTTTTTAATTTTTCTCTTTGAAAATGGCAGGTGGCTGATAGATCCCAGAACTCTGAGCTCTCATGAGTCTGAAAGAAAACTTGAGATTGGTGGTAGCAGGGGTCGGGTAATTTTTTCTTTATCTCTTTAGTGAAAGCCCTTGCAACATGGTAAAATTGTTACAAAAGAGGGTTGGAATAGCACTTACACAGTGTAATAGGAGAGGCATTCCAAAGCAGTTTTGCTGAATTAGAGATAAAGACCAGTTAATGTAGACAGTAGCAATAAAATAACATCCTTTACAACTATCTCTCTTCTTTTTTTTTTTCTGTACGGAAATCATGTGCATCTTTAACACACAAAAATCACAAATTAACATCTTCCATCATAGAGTTTGAGTCTAGTTAGTAGCAATTGACAAGCCAAATAAAGGTGTGTCTCCTGGTAGAGTTCAGGGACTTGGGATAAGACTGTTAGGACACCCCATACAATACTAAAGGCATGCAACCACTGTTTTATTAGTGAACTTAGAAATAATTTTTGTTAACACAGCTAATACTTTTTGGTCTGGTCAATTTGTACTACATAGAGCAGGTTTAAGAACTCCAACAGAAATAGTAAGAGCTTTCATTTATTGAGATGCTGTGTGCAGGCTATCCTGTTATCTCTAATATTTATAACAACTCTACATTGAAATAAAGAAAATACAGGTTCCTAAGGAAATTCTGCTGTCCTAAATAACTTGCTTATGGCCACACAGCAAGTGATTAAGCTGGGATAATCCAGCTCATCTTAGATCCCAGGGCCTTTTTACCATATCATGTCTCCCCGCCCTCCACACACACATACAAATTGATAACTTTGCACAATTCTGCTCCTGTGTTTGCTTTAGTACTAACTCCTTCCTGCTGCTTGCAGTTTTGCTTTATCTACACATACTGTTTATTTCACTTTGTGTAAGCTCTACCTTACTCTGAGAGGCTCTTTCTCTCTTTGGAGACAAGATGTCTCTATAAGCCAGGCTAGGCCTTGAACTTGTCCTCCTGCTTCAGCTTCCTGAGTTCTGGGAATACAGGCATGTGTCACCATGCCTGCCTAAAGCAGACTCTTATCTCTGTCCCCCTTCCCAAACCATACAATACACACACACACACACACACACACACACACACACACACACACACACACACAGAGGCTTTCTCAGAACCCATTGCTGCCACCTCTTCTGGAACCCCCTCTTGTTTTCTAGTTGTTGAGGGTATTTTTCTTTCTTCTTCTTTTTTTTTTTTTTTTTTTTTTCTCTTTGCATGATGCTGGGGATTGAACCCAGGGTATTGCCCATGCTAGGTAAGTGCTTTACCCCTGAACTATATCTACTGGAGTTCATAATCTTACTTGAAAAACAAAACATATGCAAATGAACTGGGGACTTGGCACAGTGGCAGAGCATTTACATAGCATGCATGAGATCCTGGGTTCAATTCCCAGCACTGCAGAAAAAGGGAAAAAAAGATAGTGAACTGTAAGACTGTTTTACAGGTTTTTATTTTCATGTAATTCTAGCAATTAACACATCAATACTTTCTATGGCTACAAATTTGAAGGGTTAAGAAATAATACCTAAACATAAGGCACTCTTGCTATTTTGATAATCTCTAAGTCTACGTTCTCAGCCTTTGATGTTTGCTATTTTTCCCCCAGTGAGCAGAAGTATTGTTATGCATCAGACTCCTTTCTTCCCCATCTCCTTCCTTCCTTCCTGTGTTTTAAGAAACATTTTAAACCAAAGTTTCAAAACATTATTCTTGATTTGCTTACAGGAAAGTAATTTACTAAAGTTCATTGTGTCATCTGTGCTTTTCATAGTATATAATATTGTTTTTAAGGATTTCTTCCCTCTCTAAAGTATGAAGGAAAATAGGAGAATGATCTTCTTGATTGGTAAAAATCAAAGTTTTAATAAGTGGTACCTTAACTTTTGGATACTTGTTTTATACTTTTGTAGCAATACTGTAATTTTTTGCTTTTTATGAGACAGTCTTGCTATGTAACTCAGGCTGGCCTGCAATTTGTGATCCTCCTGCCTCAGCCTCCCAAGTGTTGGAATCACAGGTGCGCCCCACCATGCCTTCAATGCTGTAATTTTATGAAAGAATAGCCACTGTAATAATTTGAAAGAAAGGATTAGGAATCAGAATTCCTTCAATGACTATCATGATCAAAGGCTCTTTAGGCTTCAGTTTATGCCAGGTGAACTTCCTATTTGAAGAAAAAACTAGAATTTCTACATTGAAAATGGTGTGACAGTCTATTTCCACCAGCCCCTCATGTGGATGGTGTGCCCCATCCTTTACTACTCATAGGAATCCAGTACTTCTCACTGGCTTTTAGTTGAATGCACCAATGCCTGCGCTCCATCCCAGACATTTAAATGGGTATTTGGGGGATGGGACCTAGTAATAGCTTTTTTTTTTTAAGGATCCAGGTGATTCTATAACCAGGGTTAATAATATTTGTATTAAATCAGAAAGCCTTCATGTGTATTCATCTCATCATTTACATTTTAACCTTTTATTTCATTTTCTTTTTTGTATAAGGCAAAAATATAAATTTAAATGGCTTTATAAGCATTTCACAGGGAAATTATGTTTCCATTAAAATCATCAGTATGAACTTTTTCCCCTTCTACCTTTTATCAGGTTCAGGAAACTGGGGACATTGTCATCTCAAATGCCTATGTGGACCTCCTACCAGCCTCTGGTGTTTTGGCCAAGATGCCTTCAGAGGTAGGTTATGGAAAGTGGTGTCTAAGTCATTTCCTTACTCTGATCACTAGGGATGTCCAGGACCTATGAAGAGATGCACAGTTCTCCAAGTGAAGGACACTAATTCAAAATTGAGTAGAATAAAGGGAATATTTTAGTAAGTTCTGAATTTTTAAAAAAATTTTTTTTTATAGGATAGTGGGATCAGTCAAGAAGAAAAAGTGATTCTCTAGTCTGGAGTAACTAGTCAGCTCTTTAATGAGAATATTGCAGTATTTTGGAGAAAAATAGGTGACAAAATTATGTAACTTGTACCTTTCCTTTGTTTTAAGATTATGAATACAAATACGAAACAGTAACATGTGCCATTTATTGAGAGGTTTATCTTCTCTGCTGAGGCTCTAGAAAAACATGTCCATGTTCTGTGGTGATGGGAGATTAAAATATCTCTCTTAACAACAGCATAAGATGGAAAACTTTCAAAGTTTTATAGCTAGAAAAAAATTCAAGCTTCGTATAATTTAGTCCCATTTGTAAACAAAGAAATTAAGACCACAGAACTTGATTTGCTCAGTATCTTTCTTTTTTTTTTTTTCTTTTATTATTCATATGTGCATACAAGGCTTGGGTCATTTCTCCCCTCTGCCCCAATCCCTCCCTTACCACCCACTCCGCCCCCTCCCTCTCCCTCCACCCCCTCTATACCCAGCAGAAACTATTTTGCCCTTATTTCTAATTTTGTTGTAGAGAGAGTATAAGCAATAATAGGAAGGTACAAGGGTTTTTGCTAGTTGAGATAAGGATAGCTATACAGGGCATTGACTCACATTGATTTCCTGTGTGTGTGTGTTACCTTCTAGGTTAATTCTTTTTGATCTAACCTTTTCTCTAGTTCCTGTTCCCCTTTTCCTATTGGCCTCAGTTGCTTTTAAGGTATCTGCTTTAGTTTCTCTGCATTAAGGGCAACAAATGCTAGCTAATTTTTTAGGTGTCTTACCTATCCTCACCCCTCCCTTGTGTGCTCTCGCTTTTATCATGTGCTCAAACTCCAATCCCATTGTTGTGTATGCCCTTGATCTAATGTCCACATATGAGGGAGAACATGTGATTTTTGGTCTTTTGGGCCAGGCTAACCTCACTCAGAATGATGTTCTCCAATTCCATCCATTTACCAGGGAATGATAACATTTCGGTTCTTTTCATGGCTGCATAAAATTCCATTGTGTATAGATACCACATTTTCTTAATCCATTTCAGTGTGGGGCATCTTGGCTGTTTCCATAACTTGGCTATTGTGAATAGTGCTGCAATAAACATGGGTGTGCAGGTGCCTCTGGAGTAACCTGTGTCACAGTCTTTGGGTATATCCCCAAGAAATGGTATTGCTGGATCAAATGGTAGATCGATGTCTAGCTTTTTAAGTAGCCTCTGAATTTTTTTCCGGAGTGGTAGTACTAGTTTACATTCCCACCAACAGTGTAAGAGGGTTCCTTTTTCCCTGCATCTTCACCAACACCTGTTGTTAGTGGTGTTGCTAATGATGGCTATTCTAACAGGGGTGAGGTGGAATCTTAGTGTGGTTTTAATTTGCATTTCCTTTATTGCTAGAGATGGTGTGCATTTTTTCATGTGTTTTCTGGCCATTTGAATTTCTTCTTTTGAGAAAGTTCTGTTTAGTTCACTTGCCCATTTCTTTATTGGTTCATTAGTTTTGGGAGAATTTAGTTTTTTAAGTTCCCTACATATTCTAGTTATCAGTCCTTTGTCTGATGTATAGCTGGCAAATATTTTCTCCCACTCTGCGGGTGTTCTCTTCAGTTTAGAGACCATTTCTTTTGATGAACAGAAGCTTTTTAGTTTTATGAGGTCCCATTTATCTATGCTGTCTCTTAGTTGCTGTGCTGCTGGGGTCTCATTGAGAAAGTTCTTACCTATACCTACTAACTCCAGAGTATTTCCTACTCTTTCCTATATCAGCTTTAGAGTTTGGGGTCTGATATTAAGATCCTTGATCCATTTTGAGTTAATCTTGGTATAGGGTGATATACCTGGATCTAGTTTCAGCTTTTTGCATACTGCTACCATGTGCCAGTACCATGCTGTTTTTATTGTTACTGCTTTGTAATATAGTTTGAAGTCAGGTATTGTGATACCTCCTGCATTGTTCTTTTGACTGAGTATTGCCTTGGCTATTTGTGGCCTCTTGTGTTTCCATATAAATTTAACAGTAGATTTTTCGATCTCTTTGATGAATGTCATTGGAATTTTGATGGGAATTGCATTAAACATGTAGAGTACTTTTTGGAGTATCGACATTTTTACTATGTTGATTCTACCAATCCATGAGCATGGAAGATCTCTCCACTTTCTATAGTCTTCCTCAGTCTCTTTATTCAGAAGTGTATAGTTCTCCTTGTAGAGGTCTTTCACATCTTTTGTTAGGTTTACACCTAGGTATTTGATTTTTTTTGAGACTATTGTAAATGGAATTGTTTTTATACATTCTTTTTCAGTTTGCTCATTGTTAGTGTATAGAAATGCTAATGATTTTTCTATGTTGATTTTATATCCTGCTACCTTGCTATAGCTATTGATGGTGTCTAGGTGCTTCTGAGTAGAGTTTTTTGGGTCTTTAAGGTATAGGATCATGTCATCTGCAAATAGGGATATTTTGACAGTTTCTTTACCTATTTGTATTCCTTTTATTCCTTTTTCTTGCCTAATTGCTCTGGCTAGGAATTCCAGTACTATGTTGAATAGGAGTGGAGATAGTGGGCATCCTTGTCTGGTTCCTGATTTTAGAGGGAATGGTTTCAGTTTTTCTCCATTAAGTATAATGCTGGCTGTAGGTTCGTCATATATAGCTTTTATAATGTTGAGTTTTACTTTCCTTCTATTCCTAGTTTTCTTAGAGCTTTTATCATGAAATGGTGTTGGATCTTATCAAAGGCTTTTTCTGTATCTATTGAGATGATCAAGTGGTTTTTGTCTTTGCTTCTGTTAATGTGGTTTATTACATTTATTGATTTTCATATGTTGAACCACCCCTGCATCCCTGGGATGAAGCCTACTTGGTCGTGGTGAATAATCTTTTTGATGTGTTGTTGAATTCGGTTTGCCATTATTTTGTTGAGGATTTTTGCATCAATGTTCATTAAGGAGATTGGCCTATAGTTCTCCTTTTGGAGGTGTCTTTGCCTGGTTTTGGGATAAGTGTAATACTGGCTTCATAAAATGTGTTTGGCAGTTTTCCTTCCCTTTCTATTTCGTGGAACAGTTTAAGGAGGGTTGGTATCAGTTCTTTAAAGGTCTGATAGAATTCAGCAGAGAATCCATCAGGTCCTGGACTTTTCTTTTTGGGGAGACTCTTGATTTCTGCTTCAATTTCATTTTGTGTTACATGTCTATTCATTTGATTAATTTCCTCTTGGTTCAGTTTTGGATGATCTAGAAATCTGTCCATTTCTTTAAGATTTTCAAATTTATTTGAATATAGGTTCTCAAAGTAGTCTCTGATGATTTCTTGGGCTTCCATTGTGTTTGTTGTCATCTCCCCTTTTGCATTCCTGATTCTACTAATTTGGGTTTTTTCTCTCCTCATTTTAGTCAAGTTTTCCAGGGGTCTATCAATCTTGTTTATTTTTTCAAAGAACCAACTTTTTGTTTCATTAATTCTTTGTATGGTTTTTTTGGTTTCTATTTCATCGATTTCAGCTCTTATTTTTATTATTTCTCTCCTTCTATTTGTTTTGGGATTTGCTTGTTCTCGTTTTTCTAGGAGTTTGAGATGTATCATTAGGTCATTGATTTGGGATCTTTCAGTCTTTTTAATATATGCACTCATGGCTATAAACTTTCCTCTCAGAACTGCCTTAGCTGTGTCCCATAGGTTCCGGTAGGTTGTGTTTTCATTTTCATTGACTTCCAGGAACTTTTTAATTTCCTCTTTTATTGCATCGATGATCCATTCTTCATTAAGTAATGAGTTATTTAGTTTCCGGCTGTTTGCATATTTTTGTCTTTACTTTTGTTGTTGAGTTCTACTTTTACTGCATTGTGATCAGATAGTATGCACGGTATAATTTCTATTTTCTTATATTTGCTGAGACTTGCTTTGTGCCCTAGGATATGATCTATTTTGGAGAAGGTTCCATGGGCTGCTGAGAAGAATGTATATTGTGTAGAGGTTGGATGAAATGTTCTGTAGACATCTACTAGGTCCATTTGATCTATTGCATATTTTAGATCTTGGATTTCTTTATTGATTTTTTGTTTGGATGACCTATCTATTGATGATAATGGGTGTTAAAGTCTCCCACAACCACTGTGTTGGTTTATATATGCTTTTAGGTCTTTCAGGGTATGTTTGATGAAATTGGTGCGTTGACATTGGGTGCATACAGATTGATGATTATTATTTCCTTTTGGTCTATTTCCCTTTTATTAGTATGGAATGTCCTTCTTTATCTTGTTTGATCAATGTAGGTTTGAAGTCTACTTTGTCAGAGATAAGTATTGCTACTCCTGCCTGTTTTTGGGGGCCATTGACTTGGTAAATCTTCTTCCAGCCTTTGATCCTAAGCCTGTGCTTATTTCTGTCAGTGAAATGGGTCTCCTTTAAGCAACAAATTGTTGGATCTTCCTTTTTAATCCAGTTCGTCAAGCGGTGCCTTTTGATGGGGGAATTAAGTCCGTTAACATTAAGCATTAGTACTGATAGATATGTGGTGATTCCTGTCATTTAGTTGTCTTAGTTGTTTGAAGGTTTGATTGTGTGTACCTAAGTTGAGGTTACTCTCTACTGTCTTGCTTTTTCTATTCCTGTGGTTTGGTGCTGCCTGTCTTTTCATGGTTAAGTTGGGTTTCACCTTCTGTGTGCAGAATCCCTTGCAGGATCTTTTGTAGTGGTGGCTTTGTGGTCACATATTGTTTTAGTTTCTGCTTATCATGGAAGACTTTTATTGCTCCATCTATTTTGAATGATAGTTTTGCTGGGTAGAGTATCCTGGGGTTGATATTATTTTCATTCAGTGCCTGGAAGATCTCACCCCATGCTATTCTTGCTTTTAATTTTTCTGTTGAGAAGTCTGCTGTGATTTTGATGTGTTTACCTTTGTATGTTACTTGTTTTTTCTCTCTTTCAGTCTTCAATATTCTTTCCTTAGTTGTTTTAATGATGATATGTCGTGGGGTAGTTCTACTTTGATCTGGTTTGTTTGGTGTCCTGGAGGCCTCTTGCATCTGTATGGGAATATCTTTCTCTAGATTTGGGAAATTTTCCGCTATTATTTTGTTGAATAGATTACGCATTCCCTTCGCTTGCACCTCTTCTTCTTCGATGCCCATGATTCTCAAGTTTGGTCTTTTGATGGAGTAGGTGAGTTGTTGCATTTACTTTTCACAGGACTTGAGTTGTTCAATTAATAGTTCTTTGGTTTTTCCTTTCATTACCATTTCATCTTCAAGTTCTGAGATTCTGTCTTCTGTTTATTGTATTCTGCTGGATTGGCCTTCCATTTGTTTTGTAGTTCTGTTTCATTCTTTTTTCTGAGGTTTTCCATATCCTGGGTGGTTTCCTCTTTAATGTTGTCCTTTTTTTGTCCTGAGTTCATTTATCCGTTTATTCATCATGTTCTCTCTTTCACTTTGGTGTTTATTCAGTGCTTCTATGGTTTCCTTTATTTCTTCTTTTGCTTATTCAAGTTCTCTATTTTTGTTGTCTTGGAATTTCGTGAGTGTCTCATGTACATTTTGGTTGACGATATCCAGTATCATCTCTATAAAATTCTCATTGAGTACCTGTAGTATGTCTTCTTTTCAATTATTCTTGTGGGCTTCATTGGGTCCTTTGGCATAGTTTATCTTCATTTTGTTGGAGTCTGGATCTGAGTATCTGTTTTCTTCATTCCCCTCTGGTTCCTGTACTAATTTTTTGCTGTGGGGAAACTGGTTTCCCTGTTTTTTCTGTCTTCCCGTCATTGTCTTTGGTGTTGTTACTGTCCCTGTACTGTGTGCAATTAAGTATTTTCTAGCTTGTAATAATAACAATGGTAATATTTAGAATGGAAGGGTGAGCTGAGATGGAAAGCAAGAAGTTAAAGAAAAGGGGAAAACAAATACACAGACAAGAGGGAGAAAGCAGAACAAGGTTTCAGACAAGAAAGTTTGAAAGGTATAAACAGGGAGCATTAGTGTCCTAATTGACAGTAAGCTGAACAGACGTTAGACAGAGAGAGGATTGAAAATCAAAAATAAAAAAAAATTAAGATAAGAATAAAAATAAAAAATAAGTAAATGAAAGAAATATCTATATATAAAAATGAATTAAAATAAAATGGAAAATAGAAAATTAAAAAAAAACAACAAAAAAAACCCCCAAAAAACCAAAAAACCTCCAAGTTCAAATGCAATGAAGTTTCAGTCTTAATAATTTGGGTGTCCGTCTCAGTCTCCAATCCTGGAGATGGTGCCTCAGATGTTGTCTGTAGTTGTCTCATCAAAGGGGACGCATAAAGTAGAACAAAACTACACACACACACAAAAATAAAAAATAAAGCAAAAAAACAAAAAAAACCCCACCAAGTGTCCCAAGTTCAAATGCAATACAGTTTCAGTAAGTTTTTCTGCTTGCAGGTGTAATTCGGTTGTTCTCTCATCAAAGGTAGGGAGAAAAAGAAAAAAAAAGAGTCTGGAGACAGTTCTGAGAATGGTATCTTCAGCTGTGGCTTGCCTTTCCTCTGCTGTCAGCCTGCTGTTGCTGGAGGCGTTATTTATGCAAATCTCTGGGGTGAGCTTAGCACTCACCTGGCCCTGCAGGCTTTGTTTGTTCAGAGTTCTCCTGTGCAGGAGCCTCTGCTACAAGCTTTCCCCTTTCCCAGCACTGGGAAAGGTGACACTGCACCCGCGTTGTCAGGCCTGCGTGTTTATTTACATTTCATGTGGGAGGTGGGTCTTTCCCCCTCTCCTGTGGAGTTTTCCTCCCATCCCCACTTTCACAAGCTTTCCTGCTCCTGATTACTGGGTGGTGCTGCTCCTGAAAACTCCCACCCCCACTTTCACAAGCTTTCCTGCTCCTGATTACTGGGTGGTGCTGCTGCTCCTGCCAGCCGCCATGTTTGTTTACAGTTCACGTGGGAAGTGGGTCTTCCCTCCTCTCCTGTGGAGTTTTCCTCCCTCCGCCACTCTCACCAGCTTTCCTGCTCCTAGTTGCTGGGCGCGCGCCCTGCCCCGCTCCTGCCCCCACTCCTGCCAGTGCCTCTCCGGCCTGCCCGGCTTGTTTATTTACAGTCCTGGGAAGGATTCCCTTCCCCCAATCTTTGGTGCTCAGTGCGCCCCACCCTCTTTCCCATGTGTCTTTATTCTTATTGCTTATTACTCAGTTTCTCTTTTTTCCCTGGGTGGAGGTCAGTGTGTCCAGGGGGCTATGCTGCTCTGGCCCAGGCTGTCTGTGGGAGTACCGCAATACCGGAATCTCACCTGGTCCGCGTCTTCCCAAGCCGTCTGGGTGCAGGTGACTGGCGGTCCCGGGGCCCTCCTGGTTTCTCCGTTTAACGTGAAGTGGAGATTCTCTGTGCCGGCTGGAGGTGTGGAAGAGTCAAAGTTATGCCTCTTCTCAGTGATTATGCCTGCAAAGTGTGTCTCCAGCGTCTCTCCAAGATTTCACTATAGGAGGCTCACTTTCTGCTTCCTCCCTCTCGCCGCCATCTTGGAATCCCCGCTCTGTATCTATCTGAAGTTAACTAGGAGATCCAATTCCTAGCTTAGTTTAAAAAATACTTTTGAATTCTGATAAAGGTAGAGCACCTGCCTGGCAAGTGAGAAGACCTGAGTTCAAACCCCAGTACCACCAAGCAAAAGAATCAAGAGTGAGGTTCATAGGTATAAGGAAAGTGTTGAGCCTTATGCGAATAAAATAGTCTAACTGCATTATTTATGGGCAGATTTAAGGAATATCATGTATTGCATAAATCCATAATCATTTTTCCCTTGAGTCATTTTTACAGAACTTTAAATTTTCTCTTTCTGTCAGGGTGAGCAGCTTCAGAGTGCTCTTGTGTTTGAGGAGATAGGTCGCCGCCTTAAGGACATCGGGGGTGAGGTGGTGAAGAAAGTGAATGCTGTGTTCGAGTGGCATATCACCAAAGGCGGGAACACTGCAGCTAAGTGGAGTAAGTCACACCTAATTTATAAAACGCCCAAGGGCTCTTGTTAAAGATGCGATCTTTGGCCTGAGGTACCATGTGTATGCCAAGACATATATCTTTTCTTAGAGAGGGCAGCCACTAAAATGAAAACCATGTTTTAAAGATCTCATTGTGATCCTAAAATGAGTACAGCTGGCACTCCATGTGCATGGGTTCTGTAGCCACAGAATGAAAACACAGAGATGTTTTCATGATGGCTGCATCAATTGGACGCAGTGCAGTGTAACAGATAGTCATGTCATATCGGGGGTTGTCGTGGGGATCTGGAGGTGACTTAAAGAGGGTGAGAGTGTGTGCATGTGTGCACGCATTGCCATCTCACATAAGGGAAGGGTCATCAGAATCCTCAGGGTGATGCCCACAGGGATAGGTCCTGGAACCAGTCATGTTAGCTTAGCATCTTTAACATCTCTGGTGAAGTGAAATATAGTAAGCCATTATATTTACAATTTTACAACTGTTTTCTTCATCCCAACAGTAGTTTGATTTACCTTCTTAAGTATTACCACTATAAAATCAATTATTTTCTTGACCCACATTTTGTAATCCAAGATGCTTGTTTATCTGATAGGTATCTTCCCAAAGATCAGTAAACTTCACAGTTGAGCAGGACATACATAGGCTTCATCACTATAGTTTCTTTTTTCTCTGTCTTCCTCTTCAAAGTGCAGGATTTGTGAGATTATGTTGTGAAGGAGTGAAATGTGAGCCACAGTAATGAGAAAAGTGCTACAGCTGTGTCTTAAAGTAAAGTGTTCACTGTAGGCCAACACTATATACAGATTTCCCCCTTGGTTTGGTGAATCTTTCCTTGGGCAGTATTAGAAAGTGTGCTTACAAGGCCAGGCATGGTGGTTTATTGTCTTTAATTAACCTTGGAAAGGTTTTCCCCCACCACTTTATGTTCCCACTAGAAAATGGGCATATTGGAATCCTGTTAATTGCTGCTTACCATTGATGATTTGTGGTATTTCTTCAGATTCTTATTTATCAAAGCCAACAATTAAATTGGATCCTAAAACTTTTCTGAAAGGACTTGCCCTTCTCTCCCTTTGGTGTTCTGTCTATTGATGTGATTCTTAACTGTGTAGCTGCTTCCATTCTGGTTCTTGTGCTCTTCCCTCTCTGTGTCCCACGGTACTGGGCAACAATTAAAACTCTTAACTAAGCCTTTTAGCTTAAGACATCGTAGAGGCTGATTCCATTTTGGCATCTTTGTGTTGTAGCTTGCTGCTTAATGATATGGAATAGACTTTGTCTTAGGGAATTACCCTCCCACCCCAGTTTTTAAATGTTTGGCTGAGCTTTACCAAGTATTTTGTATTTTAAGTTGTTATTAAGTGTCCCAGCCTTGTTCACATCACAGCAGACCAGAACGTGAATACCAAGAGTGGGAATGAGCACTTCAGTGCACTGATGCTCAGCATGGTGTCTCTGGGGTGCTTACAGAACCCACAGGTCACATTCCAATGCAAGGATCCTGGACCAGGCCCATCTTAGCTGGAACACTGTTGTTTTTGACTGGAGGAGGAAGTGTCATAACTGTCTTGGGGCCAGCCTCTCTGGGCCTGTTGTGTATTATATGGTAGGAGGAGGACTGTCTGGGTGAGCAGGCTGAGGGAATCTAGGCCCTTCTTTCTCTTTGTGGGCCAAAAGGGACAGGTGTGGAGGAAGTCAGCCCTGTCCTGTAATGCTCACCTGCACCTTATCTTATTTATTCTGCTAGGTACAATGTTGCAATCATGAAATATAGTTTTAGAGTTGTGCATTGCCCACAGATGGTACTCTAAGTAGCTAGGTCAAAATTAAGCCCGTTTCTCTCTGATTATTATCTGTTAGAATAGCAAGAACAGTGATCTTGACGTCTGTGTCGTCTTACTGCTACAGAATAGAATTGAAGGCTTGGACATATTAAAAAACTTTTCAAGTATCTTAAGTGTTTAGGTATTTTACCCTTTGAATATTTTTTCTCTAGGTAGTTTTGGTTGGGTAGAAAAGGTGAAAATGGACAACAGGTGGATAAATAAATTTCTGAATTTCCTTTGAACAGAGTCTCTTTTAGTAATCTTGCTGTGTTTTGTAAGTGTACATCTCTTACTTGGGTTTAATTATGAGAAAGGGCTGTGGTTTAATTTGGCCATTTCCAACTTCTGGTATGATCTGTAATACATATTTGCCTGACCCTAGAAACTTAAAAGTGAAGCATCCAAAGCATCCATACCCTCTTTGCCCTTTTTGCCCTCTTAAAGTAGTTGGCAAAATTCTCTTTTGCAGAGAGTTGTGTTAGACTGAAGGGAGGCACAGAAGGAAAGACAGGAGGCGGCTCAACATCAGCATAGGCCTTATTTGGGAGAGAGAGCCTGTGGAGGAGGTCTTCAGCAAGAGAGCTAGAAACCATTATCACACACAGACTTGGGGTAGATAAAGGAGGCTAGTGGAAAAGTGCCAGGAAGGTCACTAAGGAATACCGTTGCTGGGAAACCAAGGAAGATACATTGTGGTTAGGTCACTGTCTGCTTAACTGTCCTTGGTGCCCACCCAGAGATAAAAGTTAACAAACTGTCCCTTTGTCAGTCCTTGGAGTCCGGTAAGGAGTTTCCAGCAAGCCACCTGCAAGGGGTTTGGTTCTAACATGACTGTCCTGTTAACAAGTTGGAGTGGTTTAGGTTCTCTTTGGAGCAGGGCTTGCTAAGTGGAATGTACTGCTTCAGCCTTCTGTTCCTCACTGTGGGGAGGCTCCTCCAGTGGAATGAGGGAGAGGCCAGAGCTGAAGGAGCAGTAGGTCCCTGCACATCTGGGCCAGTGTGGTCTGGGGCAGCTCAAATCTTCTGAAGTCTAAATCCAGTCTACAGCTCCATGAATGTTGTATAGACAGCAACAAAGGCAGAGTTCCCAGTAGTTTTCTCCATTACTGAGCCTGTTTCTGGGACATTTGATCCTTCTGTCAAGAAATGTTAGAAGAGGAGAAGCTAACTTGAAAAAATCAACAATAATTTCTGCATTGACTGTGTTTGGAATAAATCAGATTCTTCAGATCTGTTCTTGTTGTTCTGTTATGCCTGTGGCAAAACCTTTGATGGATTTGGGTATTCAAAAGGTGTCCCCAACCCACCCAGCAGGCAACTATTTAAATTCAGCTTTGCTGACTCTAAATTCTGTTTGAATTTAAAGGACTTAATTGTATATATTCCAGCAGCTTCACTTCCTTACAATCTTATTCCACATTAATTCACATTATAGTATTTCATATGAATCTTCTTCATTCAGGAGAAGCCATTACTGATTTGACTATTTTTGAAGACCTTTATACAAAAAAAGGCATCTAAAAAAGATTTTCTAACCTATAGGTAGAAGTAAGTATAAAATAATTACCTCATTAGCAGGGAAGCTATAAAAATTGTTTCTGTTTTGGTTACTTTTTTACTCTTACCCTGTGAAGAGAAAAGTGATGCACATTGGTTTCTCCTTGTCCTTCCCAGCAATTGACCTGAAAAGCGGCTCTGGGAAGGTATATCAGGGCCCTGCAGAGGGCTCTGCGGATACAACCATCATCATCTCAGATGAAGATTTCATGGAAGTGGTCCTGGGCAAGCTGGACCCTCAGAAGGTGACTTGCTCAGAATTGTCCCTTACTCAGCTTCTTTGTTGACCATTGCAGTTTTGCTCTGATGTCTAAGTTTTCATTCCTGAGAACCCTCCATTGTAAAGAAAACACAGGTGGTGCTTATGTCATGTGTGGGGGAGGATGTTGCTGCTGCTGTTCAGCTTGCCATTGTTAATGGTAGATGCGTAATGACAAGTAGCAGGCTAGCTGTGGCTCTCAGGCCTTGGTCTGCCCTCCGTGAGTTGGAACACAAGGGAGAGGGGAAATGTTTTAGATTCGGTTATACAGAAGTGCCTGGTGAAGATTTGAACAAAGGCCTGAGGCATAAATAACTTAGCTTATTGGACACATATAACCGTGAGGAGGCCAATGGACAAGTAAAGATTACTTGATTACATTTTTTATTCCCCTGCTTTAAGGTCAGCTTCATGAGAAGACAAACAGATGTCTGTTCCTTGGCCTAGAATACTGTCCAGCACCCCGTAGACAGTACTGGATCGATTAAAGGAAGTATAGAACATAGGCTTAATACCAGTCATTTAGATGAGTAGAAGTTAGGAACTCCTGCTTGTCAGACTGCATAGAGTATTCACCTAAGCCTGGGGAAGGAAGAAGACAATAAGGGGGAGAGGGCAAAACTGCTGAATAGAGGGACCCAGGCCATTGGCCCCTCCCTGTGTGCCTGCAGGAGCATGACATAACTTGCTGCCACCGCACCTTCACGGGTCATCCCTGCACCTTACGATCAAGCACTGCTGACAAGGCTGGGTGTGCATGCTGCAGGTGATTCCCACATCTGTCTCTCTTTGAAGCTTCAGTGTCTTGTCAGAGGACAAGTGCTTCAGGCCCCTCACCACAACCGGAGTAGCCATAGGGGCACCCACCTGCCTGAACAGCTAGTGTCCCCACTCTTGTACCACCTTTAGAGGCAGTAGGTCTCTCTGACTCTGATATGGTACACACTGTGCCCAAACTTACTGATTACAGTCAAAAAAGCTACAGGGAGACTACACTTTGATGCCAAGCTAGAAATAAACTCCAAATTGTATAGCAAACTGCTATCTCAAGACATGTCTTCAGGAGAAAGTTGCTCTCTAAGCAGGCCACCCATAAAATTGGTAGAGTGATCCATTCCACCAGATCCATTTCACAGATATGAAAACAGTGCAGTGCCTTCTAAAGATGAAAACTCTCTAATAACAGACTCAGAAGATACCGAAGTGGATGAACCTTGACAAAGTCTTCAAAAAGTTCATTGAGATCCAATAGAATATAAACAATTAAATGAACCTAGGAAGACAGTGTAGGATCTGACTGAGAAATTCAACAAAAAGAGAGCTTTTGAAAAAGAACTGATTGGAAATGCAGAAGTCAATTGACACCCTCAATAGCAGAATAGATCAAGCAGAAGAAAGAAAATTGGAGCTTGGAGACAAGTATTTTGAAGTATCACATTGAGACAGAAGTTTAAAAAAAACCAAGAAAGCAAAGATCTTTAAAAGACCAAACATCCATATCATTGGCATGCCTGAAGGGGAAGAAATAAAGTTTAAGAGCCTAGAAAACCTATCCAGTGAAATAATAGTAGGAGATTCCTTTGGTGGTGGGAAGACACAGGGATCTAAATACATGACTTCTGTAGAGCCCCAAATAAACATGTCCAGAAAAAAACACCCACTGTGGCATATTAGTCAAACTAAAGTATAGGACAAAGAATTTTAAAATCTGAAAGAGAAACATGCCAGGCAACCCCATTAGATTAACAGTTTTCTGACCAGGAGAGCATGGAAGGATGCATTTGCCAACAAGTAAACCAAGATTATACTTCAGAATTGAAGGAGAAAGAAAGATCTTGCAGGACAAACAAAAATGAAGGGAATTCTTGACCATGAAACTAGACTTACAAAAGGTGCTAAGGGAGTCCTGCATCCGTGACCTGCTATCTATGGCATCGTAAGCTTAACCTCTGGCTACTCTGCTCCATGCCCAAACATGCTCTCCCTAGTCCTGAGACTGGAGGAGGTTTGAAGGCCTGCCATCTTTGTGTCCACAGTCTAAGAGGCATGGGTCCTATCCTGCCATCTGTCAGATCTGTCGCCTCTTCCTGGTAAGCAGTAATACTTTTTATGGACACAAAGAAATGGAGACATCTGGTGTATTTTAAACAGTGTTAATAAATAGCATATTCTCATGAGTACTATCTACTAATGTATAAATCTTACTAGAAGAGTAGATAGAAAAGAAACACCAATATAGTAAACCATCAAACTATGAAGTAGAATAAGAGAAAAAAAAATAAGAAAATCAGCAAACTACAGGCACAAGTGCATACATTTATCTTTCATAGCTGAATATAAATAGTTTTCATTGTCCAACTAAAAAATACAGACTGAAAGAGAAAGAATGGGAACTGATACTCCAAAGAAATGGAAATGTAGTGTGAGCAGGTATAGCTATACATATATCTGACAAAATAGGTAAGACAAAGGTCACAATATAATGATGAAAGATCAGTTCTCCAAGAAGATATGATTATAAAATTTATATGTACTAGATGTTGGAGCACCCAATTTCCAAAACAAATATTATTAGACTAAAGGGAAAGAAAGGCTCCAATACAATAGTAGTGGAGAAGTTCAATATCCTATACACTAATGGATCCAGTGAAATGAACACCAATGAAGAGATATCAGTTTTACTGTCCTATGGCTCAAATGGACTGAATAGACATTCACAGACCATTCCATCCAACAGCTGCGAAACAGTTTTCTCATCAGCACATGTCCTGTACTCTTAACACAGACCATATGAGGCCACAAAACAATTGAACTCACATTCTGTATCCTTTCTGATCACAATATTACTAGTGTCAGCAGCAAGAGACACTTTAGAAAAATTACATATACATAAACTGAATGAACAGTGGGGCATTGAGGAAGTCAGAAGGGAAATTTAAACAACTTAATGACACATCTCAAGGTGTTAGAAAAGCAAGAACAAATCAAACCCCAAATTAGTAGAAGGAAATGAAGATCCTAATAGAGTCTAAGTAGAGTGTAAAAGGACAGTGCAAAGATCAGAGGAGCACAGAGTTGGGTATTTGAAGATTAATAAGATTGACAAAGCTGGAGAGAGAGAGAGACCAAAACCACAAAACCCCCAAAAACCAGTGATGAAAAAGGAGACTTTACCAATGGATACCACAGAAATTCAAAGGATCTTTAGGGTTATTCTGAAAAAAATCTAGAAAAAACAGACCAATTACTGAACACATGTGACCTGCCAAGATTGAACTGTGAAGTCATTAAAACAACAACAACAATAACAAAAACTGAGTAGAATAATAACAATTCACGACTGAATCAGTAACAAAAGTCTCAACAATGAAAAGCCCAGATGGCTTCATTGTTAAATTTTGCCATATTTCTGAAGAAGAACTAACACTAGTGCTTCTCAAACTCTTCCATGGAATTGAATGGGAATGAGAAAGTCCTTCATACTCATTGTATGAGGTCAGCACTACTGTTACCAAAACTTGACAAGGCCACACAAAAGAAGAAAACTATACACCAAACTTCCTGATGAACATAGATGGACAAATTCTCAAAATATTAGCAAATTGAATTCAGTGCACATTAAAGAAGTCACTTGCTGTGATCAACTCAGTTGCATTCCAACTGTACCACAAGAGTGGTACAACTATGTAGATCAATGATCACAGTGTATCATGTCAACCGAATAAAGGATAAAAGTCACACAGTCATCTCTGTAGAAGCACATAACACATTTGATAAAATTCAACATCCCTTCATGATAAAAGCACTGAACAAGTTAGGTACAGAAGGATCAGCTTCAGCATAAGAAAGTCTGTACATGATAAATGAGCAGCCAACATCAAACTGAATGGGGAAGAAACTGAAACCATTTCCCCTAAGATCAGGACACAGGGGTCTGCTCTTATGACTTGCTCAGTATAGTACTAGAAGGTGTAGTCAAGCAGCTGGGCAGCAAAAGCAATTGTGTACAAACAGGAAAGAAGGAAGTGAAATTATCCTTATTTGCAGTGACAGTGCTTCAAAAACCGAAAGACTTAGAACTGATAAATGAAGTTAGTAAAGCAGCAGGACACAAAGTCAAGACTCAGATACTGCTGGCATTATGTGTGGTAGACGAGACAGGAGCTCAGAGGGGTTTAAGTGGTTTGTCCACGCGCCCCTGCTAGTGAGTGGCAGCATCTGAATTCTAACCAGGCGTTCTGGATGTGTAGCAGCTGTCTACTCACCACAGTGATACACAGTCTTGCTTTGCATTGCATGGCTTTCTAAGGGATGGAAATGCAATAAACGTAGTTAATCTGCTTTTACAGTTCTGAATTGAAGTTTATTAGGAATTATAGTATAGCCTTTTAGTCACATGGTCTAAATTCACATGTAAAAACCGTATTGCCAGAAATATAGGTTGAAATAGGACTCCAGACATGTCAGTGCAGATAAATTATTCTGATTTTCTAAACACACAGGAGTCTTTTTTCTTAGAGATCTAATAATAGGAGTTCATCTGAGTCAGCTGTCATTGGTAGGTGAAAGTTGCCTTTGATGTCCAGCGTTGTTAACTCTCCTGTGTCAGTCTGTAAACAACTGTCCTCCTCAATGAGCAGCACTGTGGAACCGTGTGACGTTTGCTCTTCCCCCTTCTTTGCAGGCCTTCTTCAGTGGCCGCTTGAAGGCCAGGGGCAACATCATGCTGAGCCAGAAGCTTCAGATGATTCTGAAGGACTATGCCAAGCTCTGAGGGCACCTGCACCATGAGCACAAGGGTGTGCACCGTTATTCTACAAGGTGATCAAAACAAAAATGCAGGAGAGACTGCTTAACATTTTTAGATTTCAGATAACTTCAGATTTTCATTTTCTACTAATTTTTCACATATTATTTTTCCAAGGAACTGTAAGATAGCACATAATTATCTTTCTGTCCTTAGATCTGTATTGTCAAAATAAAAAGAAATTTCACCCAAATCCGGTTTCTTTAGAATCTGTGATAGCATTTATAAGTTGAAAGGAAAAATAAACTAATAAAAGCCATTTTGATACCTTTTATACCTTGTAATATTTAATACTGTTGACTACACCATCCTCAGTTCTTTGCTTCCCTTACTCTCCAGTGAGAAATACATGAACTTCTTAAAGAACCCATCTGCCTTGTATTTGTCCCTCTGTGACTTCCTTGGATACCAACAAAGCTCATCAGTGACTGCTCAAGGTCTATGTTAGGAGCTCATTCATGTAGGCTGCTTCTCCATGCACAGACCAAAATTTAGACCTCTTAGGAGAGCAGGGGGTTCAGATGCACTATATTGCTTCTACAGAGAGCCATTCAGTGTGGGAATGGTGAAACAAGTTCCCAAAACAAGTCCCTAGATGTCAGCTGAGGGAGGGCCAGCCTTCTCAAGGCCTGCCTGTTAACTCTTCTTCACCACTAGGATCAGCCCCCACCAAACTACATGGCCTAAGAGTTAAGCAGGCATGATAGCAGCGGGAAACTTGAGTGCCAGGAAGGTAAATCCCACCTGTCCACCCCAAAGTCTGTTTAGCACTCCTCACTTCTTTTTACCTTCTTACAAGTAAACCATCCTTAAGCCTTCCAAGCTTGTCACCTGTGTGTTGCTTTTCTCAACCAGCACTAAAACAGAACAATTGCAGACTTCTGACATGACATTGTGTATGTGTTATGTGTATATTACATGTAATCGTGAAGCAAACAATCTGAGAAAGCTGTTCTTCCATTGAAGAGAGATTTAAATAATACCAAAAAATTTTAACTGTCCTTTTAGATCAACAAATAAAACTTCAAAACAGAGTGATTGAGTCCCACTGAGAAACTCCAAAGTTGAGAAACTACAAAGCTGACAGTTACAGAAAGTGGTTTTCTGAAGGGAAGAGCACTGTAGGTTATAATATGGCCTAAGATATTTAAGAAGGGAGATGAGAGTGACTATTTTGAAACTCATAAATAAGCCAAAAGAAACAGCAAGCTTTAGCTAAAACTGAATCTCGATTTATGTTACATGTGTATGTAATAAATTGGCTGTGGTTGCCCAGTAAGTTTATGTTGACATCAGGGTCAATATAGCTTAAAAAAGTAACATCTGAGCTGGTAAAATGTTGCACAAAATTCAAAATTGAACCCATAAGAGAGCTGGCTATAGCCTCACCCAAAACCCATCTGTGTGAGACTTATCTTTGCTATAACAAATACCTGATAGAAACAGTTTGCGAGGGGAAAAATTTCTTTTGGCTCACATTTTATGCTTCTTTGTATCTCACAACCTTAACTACATCTATCAGTCTTTAAACCAAATAAAGTGTATTAATGAAACAAAATGACTTGACATGTAACCTTGTGAGATTCCATGCACACACAGTTCATGTCATTCCCCCCAAACATTTGTTATTTTAAATACTAATAAGTTAGCTCATTGATAGGAAGACAACTCAATTTTGTAAGTGGGCAAAAAATGTGACCAGGCACTTCACGAATGTAGATGTATGAATGACGACTTGCACATGGAAAAGTAACCACAGCACTGGAGTCAGAGAGATGCAAAGTAGAACCACAGTGACAACAACCACTGCACACCAATGGCAGCTGCTGAGTTTAAACAACCAGCAAACTAATACTTAGGGACCATGGGGTTCAACTTGCATCATCATACCTGACTAACCATAACCTCTTATTTTTTTATATAGTTCAAAATAAACTGCAGACATCCTCACACTTTACCCTTTTAACAGTTCAGCACAAATGGCATTAGAGTTTAATGTTTGGCTGGGCCTGGTGGCACACACTTATAATCCCTAGCTTCTTGGGAGGCAGAAATCAGGAGGATTGAGGTTTGAGGCCAGCCTGAACAAAACATTACCAAGACCCCATCACAACAAACAAGCAGGCATTGTGACTCAAGTCTGTAATCCCACCTATGTGGGAGGCTGTAGATAGGAGGATTGCTATCTGAGGCTAGCCCTGGCAAAAATAAAAGGCCTTACTCAAAAATGAACTAAAAGCATAAAAGGGCTAGAGGAGTGGCTCAAGTGGTAGAGTGCCTGCCTAGCAAATGCAAGGCCCTAAGTTCAAACTCCAATACTGCCCCTCAAAAGTATAATGTTTATAGTTCTTTTTGTGAAAGAATTTATAGAATGAAACAAATCTTCAGTGCAGAATCCAGTGAGTTTTAACAAATACATTTTGCCTGAGTACTACAAACCCCTACCAAGATCTGGAACAGAGCTACCTGAGCACTTATTTCTGAGTCTAGAATGCTATGCTTTTACTCAGCTGATGAATTTTTGAAATTCATCCATGTTGCTTAAAGTACTTCACCCTTTACATTTCTGTGTGGCTCCTATTGTAATACACTATCTATTTACCCATTCCCAAACTGATGGACATTGGCTGTTTATAAAGCTACTATGCACATTTTCCTATAAGCCGTTTTGTGATAGGCTTTCATTTCTCCTGAGTGAACAGAGGTTGAAGACTCAGGTTAGGTGTGTCTAGTTATATAAGAAGCTGTACAATGGTTTCTAGAGTGTTCATACCATTTCACACTCCTGCCAGGGTATAAGAATTCCAGTTGATCCAGGTTTACTGTATTTTAGAAAAATTTTGCAATTTAAATGTGAAAATACAATAATTTAAAAACCATAAAATCCACTTACATGCTAGAATACAATGCACACCTAAAGCAGAAAGAAAGGTTGAAAGCAAAGATATGAGACGATACCAATTTAAAAATGCTGTAGGCAATTTTAATAGAGATCTTAGAACAAGTAGAACTTCAGGGAAAGACAGTGTAAATACAGACACAGTTCTGAAAGGTACCATCTACCAAGAAGATAAGTAACCATGCACAAGTAAGTGTAACCTCTTAACATGGACGTAAAGTGAAAATACCAGATTCAAAAGACCAAACTCAAAAGGCATAGCTGAAAGTAATATGAAGTAAGAGTATTCTTAAGTATGGAAAATGTCACATACGTGGAAAGTGTATACAGTTGTCCCTCCATGCGCATGGGATCCCGCCTTCCCTGCCCCCTGGACACCAGGGTCCATGAACACACTTAAGACCCTTACACAAAATGGCTCATCGTTTGTCCACAGTGTCTGCAAATCCTCTCATGATGCAAATCACAATATAAAGTGAAAATGCAATAAAATTTAAAATACTGTATAAAAATACTGTATTCCAAACCTCAAACATTGGCAACCAAATCTCTCAGCCAAACATTTATAATTTCAAAAGAAAAATAACAAGGATGTACATAAGTGTAGTGTGTATCTGTACATGTCCATTGTAGCATTGTTTTTAGTGAAAACTAAAGTGAGCCAATAACAGAAGTCATCATAAATAAATTTGGCACATCTGTACATAAAATATTTTAATGCCCAGCCCTACAGTAATCAAGGGATGAAACAGGGCCAAACCCACACCTGCTTCAGGACATGGCTGCCTTGAAAACAGGACTGCAAGTCTCAAGGGATTTCAGTTTCTCTGTAGTTTTGTGGTTCTACCTAAAATATGTTCATTGGCTTAACTTCCTTGCTTGAGTTTCATTTCTTTTCCCTCTAAGACTTTATTCCTATTTCATTTCTTTTCCAAGACTTTATTCCTGTTTCATTTAGAATCTCAGTAACTCCCTGTCATATAGCTATAATCCTATGTCACAGTGATTTGATTATTTTCACATGGTCAATAGCGATCAAGCCCCAAAATCTGGTTGAACTGAAGAAGCGACACAGCCACAGGCAGGGGGAGGCTTCTTTCTCCTCCAGTTACTCCCCATGTGTCTCCAAATGGTCCTCCCATCTCTTCTCTGTTTGGCCTCGAGAGACAATAGCACTGACCATATATGTCAATTCTAGGATGGCCTCTCTTCCTCATCCTAGTGTCTCTGAAATTAGTTTTCATCTTACAACCAACACTTCCTGGATGCAGCCAACTGTGACGGAAGGCAGCCCTGTGCATGGGGTGGTTGTACAACTCCTGTCTCCTGTGCAATCATGACCTCATGTCTATCACTCAGGCCGAGCACCTGTTCTTATCACACCCGCCACACATTCCCCCCAAAAGCCACAGGGGCTTCATCAACGCAACACATCTACAACTCAATGCACTTCTTTGCCTCCTCAACCAGAGCTGCTGTTGGCTACAGGATACTCTTTGGTGTTAGGAAGAACAGCCAGATGGCACCAGAACAGTCTCTCCCACAGCCATCATCTTAAATGGTGTAGCACTACAACGTACCCTGTCCCTAACTGCCACCCTGTGTATTATCCATGTCAGTGAGTGGCACCAATGTCCACCCAGGTTGCTAGCTAGCAAATGAAGTGTCATTTTGGGTCTTCCTTTCTATCCTGATTGACACCCATGAGTTGCTACACTAGGAATAATACAGAGACATTTCTTTCTTCTGAACTGTTCTCCTACGTTAAAGCTTTAGGAGTGGCACCAACATGATGGTTACCTAGAGATGCCTGGCTGGTTTCTTTCCACAAAAAAGAATAAGAAAGACAGCTGCTATTTCACTGGAGTGTTTGAAGTAGGCAGCAGAATGCCATGTGAATGTGACAAATGTCTCGGAGGACAGACACACGCAATGGCCTTATAAAGAAGGGGACTAAACACACAGCATCTGTCAGCTCAGCTCTTGGGAGCACCCTGAGTTAAGAGAATTTTGAATAGTAGGAAACGGGTAGGAAGGAAACTCAAGTCAGCCTCACCATCTCTGTGGATACCTGAAATATTTTCTGCTAGAAAGATGTGTAGATCATACAGGCCCTGAGC